ACCGCGCTGGGTCTCGTGAATCTTATTCAGGAGGGCCTTGCTGCTGCTGCTACTTTTTTTCTTCATATAAAGATGTTTTCAGCCCTCCCAATGAACGATGAGGTGTGTTTATAACACCACGTGGCAGGGGAGAATATATATTTTTTATTTATTTTTACCAGGTAAGGCCTCACTGCGCTATATAGCTCTTATTGTTCAGAAGCGACCGCGCCACAAACGACAGCTCAACAAAGTGGCTCATCACGTGGTAATTTGTCACAGCCAAATACTCTGAACGCGTCTTTCTAAACGTGGAAGACCCGAAGAACAATCCACGCGAGAGAGACACCGCAAACTACAAATATACAACAGCAGCAGCAGGCGTCAGGGTCGCGATCGAACCCACGATCTGTATACCGGGCGAGGCAGATAACATCTCCTATCCACCGCAGCGCAAAGGTGGAAACCGGAGCACCCGGAGAAAAACCGCGCCTTGCGCGAGGGGGCAAGACTCTATCCCCCGTACAGATGGAAACGGATGGCGATCAGTTCACGCTTTGCTGTACTCACTTCTCCTGGCGAGCCCTGGGTATATGTGCACCTCCTTGACGCTCACGGGAAGGGAGTTTCACAACATCCGTGTGTGAGCCACCAACCAGAGCCCTTCACAGCGCTAGGTTACAGGCAAAGACAAAGATCCTCCGTGTAGCCTGAATGGACTATTGGGGCAAGTGCTGTGAACAAGCGCCTATTGAAGCCGATACGGCACGCGAGTGGAAATAGTCGAGCCCCGACCGCCTTTATCTCCCCAGTGTGTGATGTTCACACAGCGCACCAGGTACTCATTTTAAGGCCGACACGTCGATACAAGGGAGGGAAAATCGAACTCCGGGTTACGGGGTTCGCAGAGCAGTGTGCTAACCACTGCGCCACCGCTCCTCAGAGGTTTGGGATGAATGCTTGTACGGTATTAATATACTCATATATATATACAGCATATCTACAAATACATACACAGCCACTCATCCGAGACGCACATACATCACAGTAAATGCACACACAAGTAGGCACCCATACGCATACATAAACATACATACACCGACAAAGATCCCCCACGTGGCCTGTTGCATTACCGCTTGGGGCAAATGCTGTTCTAGCGAGCACCTATTTGAGACCGGAACAGCACACGAAGGGGGTGCGGTGGCCCGCAGCACACACACACAACAGCAAAAGATTCCCGTAAAGGAGTATAGCCTGCCAGGGCAAGTGCATACACGTTGGCCGGCATCAGTGAAGGGCAGCAGTGCTGTACACGGGGGTTTGACTTCGTCTTATCTCCGGGCGCGGCACCTGAAACAATGAACACGATTCTGTGATGGTGGGGCGCCACGGTGGCTAGGAGATGTTAACTACCTCGCCCGGTATACACGAGGCCGTGGGTTCTATCACGACCCCTGACGACGCCTGTTGTATATTTCGACTTTGTGGTGTCTCTCTTTCTCTCCCCGTGGTCACGTGGATTTTTTATCCGGGTCCTCCGGTATTCTCTTCACATTTAGAGTCTTTGACTGCTATAAATGTCCACATTGATAGGCCACTTCGCTGAGCTATCATTTGTGGCCAGGTCGCTTCTGAAAAGGGGCAATATAGCCCAGTGGGCCTTACCTGGTCAAATAAATAGTTTAGTCGTAGTTTAGTTGAAATCCAATTGGCAGGTTGAGTAAAGTGTGGGTACTCCCACCTCCTACGGAAGACGTCTGCCCAATGTGGAAGAGTAGGCCAATTGGCCCCTATAGGGGGCTGTGTGGCGCCTCCCCGCACCTACAATTAGCACGGTTGGCTACGTACGGTGCGAAAGAAGTTCACCATAGGTACATACAGGAGGCCTCTTCCGCCAGCAGTGACGTCAGCCAGCAATTGCAGGGCTGCGCCTTCATCTTCTACATGAGACTATGTATTCACACTGGAGGAATCCGATGAGCTGTAAAGCTCTTTTTCACAGATGTTCACGCACAGCCATTCACCCTTGGTACGTAGGTTCTCGGTCGTAACACATTTACAGACACAGGTACGGTATATATATACACACACACGTACATCTATTAGACTGGATATACTCATAAAGATAGGTCGGCTAATGCGACTTCCATTCGCTCTTAGTGAGCTCCGTTAGCTCGAAGCGACCTCCATTAGCGCAAGTACACGCCCGTTATATTTCCCCATTACAACGTGCAGTGTAATCTTGACCTCAGCGCGAGGGGGGTCAAGGTTAGGGTCGGGATTAGGATCACGGCAATACACGAAATGTAATAGAGCGGCGGGGAGATCGTGATTTCATGACAATGCAGCCCCATGCGATTTCGTTTCCACCAATGAGAGACGGCGCGCGTGTCGACTTTCATAGAGCCCCACGCGATTTCGTTTCCACCAATGAGAGACGGCGCGCGTGTCGACTTTTATAGAGCCCCACGCGATTTCGTTTCCACCAATGAGAGACGGCGCGCGTGTCGACTTTCATAGAGCCCCACGCGATTTCGTTTCCACCAATGAGAGACGGCCCTTGTTGTTTTTGCTGCCGACCCCTGGTGATAGACTCTCCACTCTGTACGAGTGGAGGAATCACTGTGGTCTTGCCCCTGTTCTGCCCCTTCAAGTGGGGCTCCCGCTACGATTCCTGCTCTAATTAATGCGAGGATGCCTTTATTTAATAATCACAACGTGAGACGTCTAATGAGATGCTGGGCGCATGGGTGAAGATGGAATTAGGGGGGGGGGGTGTTGTTTGTTAGTGTGCACCCACGTGTGTGTGTGCAACACCAGTGACGATTATCTGAACCGGTTCTGGGCCTCCCCTAGGTCGACTCGGCCTCAAACGAGTACCTGGTGTGGTGTGTAAACATCGCCGCTGGGGAGACAAAGGCGGCCGGGCGTGGTGCTGGCCACCCACCCCCTCGTGTGCCGTGCCGGCCTTCATAGGTGCTCGCTCACAACAGTCTGTTACAGGCTATACGGGGGGATCTTTGTGTACACACGTGGATGTGTCTGTTGAAATGGAAAATGCCATCTGCGCCGTCTCCGCCCCTGACCCCCACAAAGCTAAAGAACGGCAGATTTACACCGTCATGCCCCCCACCCCCCACCACCACTTCCTACCCCCCCCCCGCCACCTACACCAACAAAGCTCTCACTCTCTTCACTCCCGCGTGTGTGGGACCGCGATGATTATGCTCATTTAGCGCGGCTGGCTACGTACGGTGCGAAAGAAGTTCTACATACATGATGGTTTGATCGATTTTCAAAATCCCTGTTCACGGTTTGGCATCTGTATAATAAAATAGAGAATATATTTCCATTTTGGATTGTCACGCACGGCGACGCCGGGAATACAATAATTGTAATAATGCACGGATGATGAGTCATCATCATCATCGTCATCGTGAGATTTGTGGATTCTTCGTCATCATCATTAATGCATTATCATTATGAAACCAAATATCAATTAAACATCGTGATCAATTTATGGGGCTCATGATTAATTAATTTATCATGATTACGTAATCCTGATTGGTTAAGTAATTAGTTAATAATGATGCTCACTTCGTCATGATCAATTCAATCATGGTCATGATTAATTTAATCGTGATTAAGGATCTGTTATCATATTTTGACTTAAAACTTTTGTGACTGCAGGAATTCATATTCTTGGTTCTTTCGGTAAAGTCACGTAGATAGAAAATAAAAATAAATGAATAAAATGTCTATTGAAAATAATAATACATTGAAAATAATAAAAGCAAAAAACCAACGACGTTTCGATTGCAACACCAGCGGTCTTCATCAGGCGGAGAGAAGTCCACTTGTGTTGCGATCGAAACGTCGTGGGTTTTTTGCTTAAATTGCTTTCAATTTATATTTTTCAAGAATGTGATCTATTGCCATGCTCATCAGCCACATCGTGACGCGAGTCGATTTCACTGCTGGGGCGAAACTTCGTTCCCTACAGAAACGACCCTTGGCCAGGACTCGCACTGAGACTCCACTGATGAGTTCTGCCAGTGCTGACGAGTTCTGTCTGCGCTGATGAGTTCTGCCTGTGCTGATGAGTTCTGCCTGTGCTGATGAGTTCTGCCTGTACTGATGAGTACTGCCTGTGCTGATGAGTTCTGCCAGTGCTGATGAGTTCTGCCTGCGCTGATGAGTACTGCCTGTGCTGATGAGTTCTGCCTGTACTGATGAGTACTGCCTGTGCTGATGAGTACTGCCTGTGCTGATGAGTTCTGCCTGTGCTGATGAGTACTGCCTGTGCTGATGAGTTCTGCCTGTGCTGATGAGTACTGCCTGTGCTGACGAGTACTGCCTGTGCTGACGAGTTTTGCCTGTGCTCATGAGTACTGCCTGTGCTGATGAGTTCTGCCTGTGCTGATGAGTACTGCCTGTGCATAGTGTGTGTAGGGAGTCGTGGTGCAGTGGTTAGTGCGCAGTGCTATGAACCCGGCGAACCGAGTGCAAGCGAGGGCTCTACTATTTGTATTTGACCAGGTAAGGCCCACTGAGCTATTTAATTCGTTTTCAGAAGCGACCGGTCTAGAAACGATAACGAAGCGGCTTATCACGTGGACATTCGCAGCAGCCAAGTACTCTCAACGCGTGATGTTGGTTCTAAATGTGGAGGCAAAAACCGGAGGACCCGGATAAAAATCCACGCGACCACGGGGAGAACACGCACACTCCAAATATACAGGGTCGGGATCGAAGCCACGACCACCTGTATACCAGGCGAGGTAGTTAACATCTCCTAGCCACCGCGAGTCGCTGGTGCTGTGTGTAAACATCGCTACTGCGGAGGCGGCCGTGCCTGGTGCTGCCCACCCACCCCCTCATTGTGCCGTGCCGGCCCTCTTAGGTTCTCGATACCAGCACTTGCCCCGACAGCCTATTGAAGCGACTACACGGGGTATATTTGTCTTTGTGCGTGTGTGTGCGCGCGTGTGTGCATGTGTGCGTGTGTGTGTGTACTGCAGCTACTCTGGGCACGCTGGAATTCACTCTGCTCTACGAACAGGCGAACAACGCCCTGCACTGCACCATCATCAAGGGCAAGGTGATGACGGTGGTGGCACCTTCTCCTCCTCCTCCTCGTCACCCACTCCCTCCTGTGCCGGTTTTGCGGACAAATGATTCGCTGCTGCCCGCGTTGGCGGTGGCACGCAGCGGTGTTGGTGATGCGATGGAGGCGATCGCGGTAATGTCGAGTTGGGTGGTGGCAGTGGGTTGAGTGGAGGAGGAGGGTGGAGCGGAGGAGGGTTGAGGATTGACGCTACTGCGCAATTGGAGGCAGTCGCCCTTCAGAAACAGCGGTGGGCGGAGGAGCGACGCTCACGTATGCATGTGGAACTTTTTTCGCACTGTACGTAGCCAGCCGTGCTAATCGAAGGTGCGAGAGGGAAGCTCCAGAGAGCTCCCTCTAGAGAGTGATTTGGCCTACTCTTCCACATTGGGCAGACATATTTTGAAGAGGTGGGAGTACCCAAGCTTTACCCCACCTGCCAATTTACTCTAAACTAAACTATTTATTTCAGCAGGTAAGGCCCACTGAGCTATATAGCTCTTTTTCAGTAGCAACAAAGCTAAGCCGGCTCCGGCCTGGTTCATCGTACACTCGATGCCTGGGGAATAGCAGGTGATGCAGACACGGCCTGCGATGTGGCCAAGCGGTTGCTGTGCAAGCGATTGATATTTTTTAAAAATACATCTGTGCTGAGCTGCGCCTGTAAAACCTCCACGTAGTTGGAGGTGGAACAATAAACCACGAGGATGGAGACGCTGAAGGTGGGGGGTGGTGGTGAGGGTGGGGGTGATGGTGTGGGTGGTGGTGATGGTGGGGGTGGTGGTGATGGTGATGGATGGGGTTTCCTCCCGCCCACACTAAGCCATTAATGGGAGTGGCCAAACATCCTAATGTAGCAGCACCCTACCTAGACAAAATAATCTTGAGATTTCTTGATGAATGGAATTGTTGTTATCGTTCTTACTATTATACGATGTTGGCATTTTAGCAAAAAGGCGGCGCTGCGGTTGACTTAACGGGGCTCTGAACCCAATTCATCCGAGTTCGATCCTCCCCTGGGGTTGCACACAGCAGCATCACAGAGTGGTCACCCGTCCGGCACCGCGGGCGGTAGGGGGTAATTTGACCATACTTCACCACGCCGGTCAAACACCCCCCCCTTCTTCCTCCCCTACTCCCACGCTCCCCCACCGTGACCCACACCGCGGGGAGGAAGCCTCCTTCCTGCCGTGAATTTGACAAAGGGCCGCAAGGAATTATTGGCGTGCATTTTCATTGTTATTAAAAGTTAAAATGTTGATATTATTAATGATGTTACTTATTTGTATTCATATAATTCCCCTTGTCTCCACCCAGTGGTCTCTGCCCCCTCCTGTCCTCGTCTTGCCATCGATTGCCCTGCGTCTCGGCGTCCAATCCCTCCTCCTCCTCCTTCCCCCACGTCTTTGACGCGACGTGAAGTCTTAACGCGGCTCGCACACACACACACACAGTCTTCCCCAGGAGATCAGGGGGGATGGGGGGGGGGCCGGGAGATACGAGAGAGATGCTCTGGGATGTGGGGAGATCGTGGGAAGACCATCCGAAACCGCAAGCAGCCGTTTTAGTTTGCAAACGAATTAAAACAAAAAAATATTCCCGTGCGTAAAAGCAGCTTCCAGAGATCGGAATTTGTATTTGGACTGGAAGAACCCGATGAGCTGTGAAGCTATTTTTGTCGCACATGTACACCCACCCACCCCACCCACCCATTTGATGAATGGTCACGGTTCGATGAACGAAATCACAAAACACTCGCCACATTCGTCAACAACGACAGCGTGTGTTTGTGTGTTGCCTTAAATGGAAACGCGTAAAAATCATGCGACGTTTCGGGCAACGGACCTTATTCATTGCACATACAAATGATTGAAAAGCAGACGACGGAGGGGCTCGTTTGGACGCAACTCGTGTGGATGGTTTCCCGACGTTCTACGTTTTCACAACCACGAGGGCTGCTGGTCGCTTTTGCTCCGTTAGCCCACCCTCCCCCCCCACCCCCCGTGCAACACCAGCGTCTCATTTGCATGTCATTTGCATGTCGTCAATTGCGTAAATAGTCAAAAACATCGATTTCTCGAACAGGTGGATTCCTCAGTGGGGCAGCGCAGCAAGTAGGTTGTACGTGCACCACCCAGCTGCCAGCGTGTGTGAGTGTGAGGTGCTCGCTAACAGCACTTGCCCATTTAACAGGCTATACGGGGGGGGGGGGGATCTTTGTCTTTGGTGTGCGTGCGTGCGAGCAGGGACTCAAGCCCATGGACTCAAACGGTCTCGCCGACCCTTACGTGAAGCTGCATCTTCTGCCCGGAGCGAGCAAGGTGCGGGAGAGCAGGGGCGTGGTGGGCGGTGGGCGGTGGGGGGTGGGGGGCAGGCGAGGAGGCGGGGTGGGAAGCGAGGGGGGAGGCGGGGGCGAGCGGGGGGGGGGCGGGCTGGGGGTGAGCGATGAGGTTGGCAATTCGAGGGAGTGGTGCGGAGGAGGAGGCAGGAACCTCGCTGGCGATGTGAGTGCAGGGTTTTATTATCGGAGGTGATGGGTGATGATGTTGGGCAGTAGTGGGGGTTGGGGGTGATGGGATGGCTGATCGCGATGGGTGATGGCGAGCGGAGATGATAGGGGCCGATGGGAGCGGGGCAGGCGATGGGGAGAGACGATGGCCGAGCAGGATGGCAGAGGTTATGGCGTTGTTGGCGATGGCAGGGGGGAGGTTGTAATGATTTGACACAAAGTGCCACTGCGTGATCCCCCCCCCCCCCTCCACGTGACAGGTAAAAAAACTCACAGAGCTCCGTAGCTCTTTTACAGAAGCGACATGGCCATAAAATGACAGCTCAACGAAGCGGCTTATCGCGTGCACATTTATAGCGGCAGCCAAAAACTCGAGACGCACGCCGAGGCTAAATGTGGAGGGGATAAGCCTACAGGCATCGCAGGGTCGGGATCGAACCGACGACCTCCTGTAGACCAGGCGAGGTAGTTAACACCTCGCCACGGAACATTGGCAGAGCCACGTGGGGATGGGGGCCAGGCGTGTCACCGTTTGGCTGAGCGCGAGCCGTGTCGGGGCTCGCGGCCACGTATCGGATTAGCGATAGGATTAGGACTGGGCTGGAGATTAGGAGTGAAGTCTGGGTTGACCTAATGACGGAGCTCGGCTCCAGGGTCCAGGCTACGGCCGAGGTCACAGTCGACGTGGAGGAGTGGCGCTGGGGGTCTGGCGCGCGCCGCGCGATCGCAACGTGACACGACCCCCCACAGTTCGATTTCCCGTTCGCGGGCAACACCGGCGACGAACGTCTAAACCGGTACTGGGACTCCTTCGTGGTGGTGTGTAAACATCGCCGCCGGGGAGACAAAGGCGGACCGGATTGTGGTGCTGGCCACCCACCCAGCCAGCCAGCGCCTATTGTGTGCCGTGCCGGCCTTCTTGGCGAGCTGCTCGCTACCAGCACCCCGCTCCAAACAATTCGTTGACGAGACTGCACCACGGCCGGGGCCGTGGGGAGTTTTTTGTTGTTGTTGTTGTTGTTGCGAAAAAAATAAATGTTCCCGCAGGCGAACAAACTGCGCACGAAGACGCTGCGGAACACGCTGCACCCCGTGTGGAACGAGACGCTCACCTACCACGGCATCACGGACGACGACATGCTGCGCAAGACGCTACGGTGCACAGGGGGGGGGGGGGGGGTAGGGGGGTGTGAAACCGTGCTAGAGCCCCAGCCAGAATCCTCCAGAAGTGATGCTCCGTGACCCCGTCCCTGACCCCGTGACCCCGTCCCTGACACCCTCGCCTTACTATTCACACAGTGACCCGGTCATTGACACCGTGTCCTCACTATGGACACTGACACCGTCATTGACATTAACCTCCCTATTGACAGTGACACCGTCATTGACACCGTGACCTCACCATGTCACCATTGACACAGTGACCTCGTCATTGACACCGTGACCTCACCATATCACCATTGACACCGTGACCCCATCATTGACACCGTGACCTCACCATATCACCATTGACACAGTGGCCTCGTCATTGACACCGTGACCTCATCATATCACCATTGACACAGTGACCTCGTCATTGACACTGTGACCTCACCATGTCACCATTAACACTGACCCCGTCATTGACACCGTGACCTCACCATGTCACCATTGACACCCTGATCCCGTCACTGACACCGTGACCTCACCATATCACCATTGACACAGTGACCCCGTCATTGACACCGTGACCTCACCATATCACCATTGACACAGTGACCCCATCATTGACACCGTGACCTCACCATATCACTTGACACAGTGACCTCGTCATTGACACCGTGACCTCGTCATTGACACCGTGACCTCACCATATCACCATTGACACAGTGACCCCGTCATTGACACCGTGACCTCACCATATCATCATTGACACAGTGACCCCGTCGGTGAGACCGTGAGACCGTGAACCCATCCCTGACACCATGAAACTGCTACCAAATGTGCGGATTTCATAAAGTATGTCCCTGCATCCTGAAGCATTTGCGAACAATTGCGATGTTTGTTCTCCACGGTGTAAAATGTTATGGCCTTACGGTCTACTCCTGTAGCGCGGCCAAACCCTGTCCATAACGCGCCGCGACCCCCGTGTCTTGCCCCGTGCTGCCCTCTCCTCCGTCGCCGCTCAGGGTGTCCGTGTGCGACGAGGACAAATTCGGTCACAACGAGTTCATCGGGGAGACGCGGATTCCCCTGAAGAAGCTCAAGGCGAACCAAGCTAAAAACTTCAACATCTGTCTGGAGAGGCAACTCCCGGTGAGTGGCTTCTGTCTGCGGCGGTCAACGTCATGGCAGCAGTGGGGGGTAGGGGAGGTGGTGGCAGGGCATAAAGTAGTGCTGATGAGCTCCAATAGGGGCGAGGTCCCTGTAAGATTGGCACGCGCCTTCGCCACTTTAAATTAAATACGGTCTCGTCTTGAAGTTTACATCGAATTAATTATCATAAACAGCCATGATCTGTCCAGTGATGGGTTTCGGATAAGAATTGGTAGGCTTGCAATCGGGACAAAGATTCCCCATATAGTATCCCATACTTCTTGCCGATTTAAAGCTTTCGTGACTGCAAGGATTCATCTTCTTTGGTTCTTTCAGTAAAGTCACGTAGAATGAGAATAAAATAATACATTGATAAAATAAAATAACACAATAAAATTCTCACGACGTTTCGGCCACAACAAAAGCGGCCTTCATCAGGTGAAGGGACGAGACTGTCTGGAGGACAGCGCTGGAGCGAAAAAGCCACGCTCAGATCGCGACCTTTGAAACGTCGTGAGAATTTTATTGTTATTTTATTTTATCAATTTATTATTTTATTCTCATTCTACGTGACTTTACCGAAAAAACCAAAGAAGATGAATCCTTGCAGTCACAAAAGCTTTAAATCGAAATTTAACTGCCTCTACGGGGAGGGATTCCACACAACCTTAAGATCATTCAACAGACTCCGGGATAAGAAGGCTCAGCTAATCGAGTCTCTCACCTTTCTGAAGAGATGCCGCGACTCTAAGCTTGAAGGTCGCGATCTGAGCGTGGCTTTTTCGCTCCAGCGCTGTCCTCCAGACAGTCTCGTCCCTTCACCTGATGAAGGACGCTTGTGTTGTGGCCGAAACGTCGTGAGAATTTTATTGTGTTATTTTATTTTATCAATTTTTTATTTTATTCTCATTCTACGTGACTTTACCGAAAGAACCAAAGAAGACATACTTCTTGTGTTGTATTTGTGCAATGATCAATCTTAAAGTGGTCTGCCCGATTCAACTGGTCCTACAGGGAATGTATTGTTTGAGAGCGATTCATGTTTTGTGCAGTGTTTTTAGATTTACCGTGCGATCACACCAACCATCTCACCCGCCCGCCAATCAATTCACCCGCCCACCATCTCACTCACTCATTCACCCGCCAATTTCACTCTTCCACTATCTCATTCACTCACTCACTCGCTCGCCCATTAACTTCCAAACGAGACTCACGTTGGCCTCTCGAGTTCCTAGCTTGACGGACACAATCAAATGGTGAACTTCTCTCCTCCGCAGTCTGCTCGCAGGAGCGGCACTGGGATGGGAGGAGCGCGTGGGATGGCTCTGTACGAGGAAGAGGTGAGTGGACACGTGCGTGTGTGCGCGCGTTGTGACAGTAGGTGGCACAGACGGTGCATCGGCCACTCATCTCAGTCAGTCGACCCGTGGCACCTGCTGGGTCTGCCCCGTGACCTGCCGGCGGGCGTTCGACACTTCACGTGGCCTCAACGTGCACCTAGCCCGGCACAAGCGCCGTGGTGACGTCACCGCCACTTAGTGGCGGCTGGCGGTTGTTGTTGTGTGTGCGCGTGCGCACTCGCACGCGAAGGCTATACGGGAATCTTTATCTGTGTCGCACACACGTGCCCGAGTGGTGGTGCAGCGGTCGGCGCGATGCGCTACGAAATCCCGGCGACCCGAGTTCAATTCCCGATCACGGCAACCAACATCGGTCACGAATATTTGAAGCAGTTCTGGGTCTCTGCCTGGGTAGACTCAGTCTAAAATGAGTACCTGGTGCGGTGTGCAATCATCGCCGCTCGGGAGACGAAAGCGAGTCAGGCGTGGTACTGGCCACCCACCCACCCCCTCGTGTACCGTGCCGGTATTCCAAAGGTGTTCGCGAACAGCACTTTCCCTACATGTAAAGGCTATACGGGGCGTCTTTACCTTCGTGTGCACTCGCACACACATTTAGAGTAGTGGGGAGCAGTAGCATAGCCGTTAACGCACCGACGCTACAAACCCGGTGAACAGACTTGGCTTCCCGCTCACGGCCAAACTAAACTGGTCCTGGGCAGGCAGGAGTAGGCGGCACCATGACTATCACCCACAGCGAGAGAGGTACACTGGATGTGGTGTACCGGGTGTGGATCGACTGGAGTAGGCGGCACGGGACGAGTCACAGCAGCGGCAGCGGCAGTAGCAACCGGCAGCCGTAGCGAGAGGTACAAACACGGGATGCTGTGTGCAGGGGGTGTCCATATCCTTCGGGTGGCAAACCCAGACAACCGTGGACTTAAATCCAGCTGTGACTCTTGCCCTGTCTCGCACCCCCAAGTACTCACCCACCCACCCACCAAACACTCACCCACCCACCCACCCCCCACATCAATGAGTGCGTCCCCCCAACCCGCACCCGTTACACCCTCCTCCGACTCTCCACCCCCATGCCCCCACCCCTCCCCCACCACCCGGGGGTCCCAGGGAGATAAGAGCGAGGAGAAGGGTCAGGAGGAGAGGGGCCGCGTCCTCATCGGCCTCCGCTACAGCATGCAGAAGGCCGGCCTGCTGGTGACGGTGCTGCGCTGTGCTCACCTGGCCGCCATGGATGCCAATGGATACTCGGACCCCTTCGTGAAGCTGTGAGCAACGGCCGCATTCATCACCACCACCATCTTCATCATCACCACCATCCTCATCACCACCGTCGTCATAACCACCATCATCGTCATCATCACCACCACCATCGTCACCATCATCGTCCTCATCATCATCACCATCTCTCACTTGGCCTGCTGGACAGTATTACCGTAGTACAATCCTGAACATCAGCGAGGCGCGTCGGGATTGTCTTAACAGTTTCCCAGATTTCGCAGACACAATTTGCGATCAAAAAAACATTCTATGTTTGCCGACCCCACAAGTTTATAAGAAGTTTCGTCTCTTGGCCTCAACCACCACTCTGCCACCTCTATCCCCGTGACTGCAGAAATTCATATTCTATGGTTCTTTTGGTAAAGTCACGTAGATAGAAAAAATAATAACAATAAAATACAAATGAAAATAAAGTGAATAAAAAAATCACGACCGCGAGGAAGGAGCGATGGAGACGTCGTGATTTTTTTATTCACTTTATTTTCATTTTTATTTTATCGTTATTATTTTTTCTCTCTACGTGACTTTATCGAAAGAACCATAGAATATGCCAATGTAACAATTACAACATAATTTATATTTTTGTTCATGGTTTTTTTTGTATCTGTTATAGTGGAGTGATTGTATGTTGTCTGCCGGCCCAGTCGCCGTTGCAAATTAGCTCTGCGGGCTTCAGCTCGGGAAATAAACTTTTGAACTTCGTCGTTCGCATCATCTTCACAATAATCATCGTTGTCGTCATCGTGACCACATTAAAATTATATTTTTACCCAGCGTCTTCGCCATTGTCGTGATGATCATCATCATCATCACAACCATTCGGGCTTGACATCACCATAAAAACCATTTGTCGACATCGCCATTATCCAAACCGTCTTCATCACGGCCATCGTCATGATGATGGTGGTGGTGATGGTGGTGGTGGTGGTGATGGTGGTGGTCGTGGTGCCTGCGAGTGGTCCTCTCTCTTTTGGGAGTGAGCGCAAACCGTGGTACGGCAGCGCTTTACAGGATTACATCATTAACATTGTTACAATCCAAACCAGTCACCATCGAAAATTACATTCATCATCATCATGAAAACCATAGTTGTCACCACCATCATCATCGTCATCATTAAAAACTCTCCAGCAGATTGCGACTGTGGTCATCCAGAACGGGAACCGTACGACGCAATGCCCCGATCCACAAATACGAAGGAGACATCACAGCGATGATGATGATGATGATACATTACTACCACTCCGCTACACCTGACGACGGGGTTACCTGGGCTTGACCACGTGAGTGTGCCATTGTAGTCGTTCCTCTGCATCTACATCAGCAGCAGCCGTACGACAGAAGATCATCTTAATGGCCACATTCATCACCATCGTCGTCGTCGTCATTGCCATGGTGATGGTCATCGCAATCATCGTCAAGGTTGTTGTTGTCGTGGCCATCACGATCGTCATCGTAGTCGCTGCACGTAGCGGCGCCGGGCACGCAGCTCGCACCGAGCAACCGAGCTGAGCTCCTCGCCCCGCCCCCCCTCTGCTCTGCACCCCCTGCCCCCCCCCACCCGCTGCCCCCCCCCCCACTCCCTGCCCTCCACCCCCGCAGGCATCTGAAACCTGACATGGGCAAGAAGGCCAAGTGCAAGACGAGCATCAAGAAGAAGACCCTGAACCCCGAGTTCAACGAGGTGAGCCGGCCCTCGCAACTCCCGCAACTCCCGCAACTCCCGCAACTCGTGCAACTCCTGAAACTGCCGCAACTCCCCCACCCCCCTGGCCACCCCCACTTCTTTTCACATGTCTCACTGCTTTACGGGTGTACGTGGTCGGGAACGGTGTGGGTGGAGGGGGGGGGCAGTGGCTAGCTCAACGAATGCACCAGATATGTGACGAATATACCTGAACCGGTCCATTCTGGGCCTCCCCCCCCCGCCCATAGGTCCATTGAAGCCTTAAACGAGGTGGAATGTCTCGGTTTGTCCCGGCCCGCCAAGCGACGCGTGCGTGGCGAGCTACAGGGGAGTCTGCGAGTGGTCCAGGGACATTGAGTAAAGAGTCCAGGGGACCCTAAGGGGGTCAAGGGGTCGTGGGTGGGGAGCTTGGCGGGGTTGGTGTCCCATGCGATGCACCGTGGGTGGGGAGGGTGGAGCTGTATGATCTTTGTTGGTTGTGTGTCCGTGTCTCCCCGTGTCTCCTTTCCGTGTCCCGCAGGAATTCTTCTTTGACATCAAACACAGCGACCTCGCCAAGAAGACGCTAGAGGTCACCGTGTGGGACTACGACATCGGGAAATCAAACGACTTCATCGGTCAGTGACCCCCCCCCCCCCATTCCCGCTCCCCCTCCCCGCCCCACTACCACCGGCCATAGAGGTCAACTCTTACATCCAACGGCCGTGATGACCTCTTGACCTTGAATTCCAGAGTGGGGGAGTGGGCAAAGCAAGGGTAGGGGAGATCGTTCCAACCTCCTTCCCCTCCTCCCATGATCCCATTGACCCCCCCTCCCTCCCTCCCCCCCATGACTCCCCCCACACTGTGACATTGATTTGATGCCGGGTGTGGAGCGAGTTACGGGGGTGTGCGAGGTGTGAGCGGTGGTGCAGTGGTTTGTGTACTGCGCTACGAACCCGACGACCCGAGTTACGATTCACGCTTACGGCCACCACCAACGCCAGTGACGATTATTAGAACCGGTTCTGAGCCTCCCCTAGGTTGACTCAGCCTCAAATTGGTACCTGGCGTGGTGTGTAGTAAACATCTCCACAGGGGAGACAAAGGCGGTCGGGCGTGGTGGTGCTCGCCATCCACCCCCTCGTGTGCCGTGCCAGGCCTTCGTAGGCGCTGCTACTCGTGTGGATTTTTCTCCGGCTTTTTCTCTACATTTACAATCAACATCACGCGTTTTTGAGTATTTTAGCCGCTGTAAATTTCCATGCAACAAGCCACATTGTTGAGCGATCATTTGTGGCCAGGTCGCTTCTGAAAAACAGCTACGTAACTCAGTCGGGCCTTACCTGGTAAAATAAAAAATGGTTTAGTTTTAGCACGTGGCCCAAACGTCTGCTAAGGTGTGAGCACGTTCATTGTAAGTGTGATGAACTTGCAACCAACCACGCTAATCGGAGGCGCTCGTCGTTCTGGTGACCTCTTGAACCCTCTCTGAACTCCACTCCCCTCCTCCTCGCCCCCTCCTCCTCCCCTCCTCCCCAGGCGGGGTGGAGCTGGGCATCAACGCGAAGGGCGAGCGTCTGAAGCACTGGTTTGAGTGTCTCAAGAACAAGGACAAGCGCATCGAGCGCTGGCACACGCTCACCGGGGAGGCTCCGGGCTCCGGGGCGCTGAGCGACTGATCTCCCGTCGCGGCATCTAAACCCCTCTCCCCTACCACCACCACCACCTCACCCCGCCAACATACCCCCAGCCCTTACCGAACACACCACACGGGAGTTGGTTGCCGTGGGTTCCCCCCCGCCCCTCCTGCCCTTCCCACCCCCACGTGAGGCAGGAAGGCCGCCCGGCGCCCGACTGGCTGATGAGACCCAGGAGGTCGAACCCAGGCCAGAGATTGCGTGCTTCGGCAAACACCGTCACTGCTCGATGTCACACGCTGCTCCGCGCTGACAGGCGGCAGCGTTGTTGTTTACTCGCAGGAGGGGAGCTCTGGTCCACAGCTGTCTGCCAAACATTACCGAACGTGTCACCCTTCGAGTATAGCCGTCAAGCCGCGTTATACGTGCCGCACGCGCCTGATGATTGCTAAACGCATAGCACGTGTAATCAACCCCTGCTCCTCCATAGCATGTGATTTGGCATTTTCTCTCCAACGATCTTCCATGTAGCCTGAACAGACTGTTGGGGCAAGTTGCTGTTAGCAAGTAGCAGCTATGAAGGCCGGCACGGCACACGAGAGGGCGGGTGGCCAGGACCACGCCCGGCCGTCTTTGTCTTCCGAGTGGCGATGATTACACACTGCACCAGGTACTCACTCAAGGCCGAGTCGACCTAGGGGAGGCCCAGGACCGGTTCAGAAAATCGTCACTGGTGTGACGGGAATCGAACCCGTGTCGCCGATCAGGGCGCTCACCATCATCACCGTCACTTTGATATCGGCGCTTCTCTGTCACGTGGTGAATGATGTGTTTAGCAATCATCAGGTGCAACGTACGTGGGGCATGTAACCACGCCACAGTTTGTAAGCCACGGCCGGGAATCGAACACAGGTGACCGAGTTCCGTAGCGCCAGTGTGCTAACCGCTGCGCCACCGCTCCGGTCACACACACAGAGATCACCTCCTCTCCGATTCCTCCGCTGATCGGATCCGATATAGTTTTGACGATTCGTCAAGATTTAAAAAGTCACGAATCGATTATTGATATTGTTAGTATTGCCCTCGTGGTGCATGTAAAACATCTTAGTGCTATGAAAATATATTAGGTTATGAACGATAACAAAAATATATATTAAAATCATGCGAATCGGGTAAACGATCGATTCTAAAAACGCACGTTCAACGCGCGGCGTTGATTCGTGATTGTAAACCATTCCTGATCGATTGATCGTTAAACCTCTACTACTGCACGCACACACACACAAGTGTGTTGTTTCACTACAAGTGGATTTACGAATCCCAAAACTCGTCCCCCCATATCCCCTCTAACGACTCAACCCCTCCTCCGCCCTAAACTCCAACTCCCCAACCCACATAGCTCGACTCCCCTACCCCCCTACCCCCTTTTAACCCTACCACTACCTCCCCCTATCCCCTCTCACCCCCTCCCCTATCCGATACCCACTCCTCCCCCCTTATTCCCCCTCATCCTCCCCCCTTATCCCCCATCCTCCTCCCCCCTATCCTATCCCCTCCCCCTCTCCTCCCCTATCTCCGTCTCCTTCCTACCCCCCCCCACGCTACTCTCGGCTCATTCCCGCCCCTTACCCGTGCGCGAACTTCACCCAACTCCCCTCGCATGCTGCATGGAGGCCGCTGCTCTGGCGCGCCCCAAACGTGACGTCGTGAATGATTTTGGAACTTTCGACTCTTTGCAATATTTATATCTATGGGAATGTACGTTCGTTATATATAGACACGCACGTAGACACACAAAGACAACGGTGTCCCACCCGTATAGCCTTGACAGACTGTTGGGGCAAGTGCTGCTAGCGAGCAGCACCTATGAAGGCCGGCACGGCGCACGAGAGTGTGGGTGGCCAGCACCACGCCAGGCCGCCTTTGTCTCCCCCAGTGGCGATGCTTACACACCGCACCAGGTACTCGTTTTAGGCCGAGTCGACCTAGGGGATGCCCAGGACCGGTTCAGATGATCGTCACTGGTGTTGGCCGTGAGCGGGAATCGAACTCGGGTCGCCGGGTTCGTAGCGCAGCGCTCCGACACACAAGACACGCGCATCGACACGGACAGACGCACACGAGACACGGTCGTGTTGTGCACGACGCGAGCGCTCAGCTATTCCACGTGTAGTCTGTGTACTCGTGTAGCACGCGTGCTTGTATTTGCACGAACCAAGCACGTGCAAGTTGTGATGATGTTTATGATGATGTTTTTTTTGTATGCGTGACGGCTCGTGATATCATAACGGAGCCTACCCCCCCCCTCTCCACGATTACCCCCCTCCGCCCCCCCGCCTCCCCTCTGCCCCGCACTGCTGCCGGGGTCACGAACCGGTCCCCACCTCCACAAATTTGGCAGGGGGAACTTGGTTGGTAGAACAGCAAGTAGGTCGCCAGGCCTTCAATTAATGTATACCCAAGAAGGGCCCAGACCATTATTATGCTTACTATTAAATATAATCAACGCCTCGAGTTTTCTGGCTGGCTGCCCGGCTTCCCTCTCGATTATGCATTGGCCACAAAAAACAACCCCCCCCCCCCCAAGACCAGCGGGGCATTCAGGCCAGGAGCCTCCCGAGGAAAAGTAAAAATCGCCTCGAGACTCCTCTCACGTCGAGACTCTCACCTCGACCGCGTTCTTTGAGTGGGTCTATGGACTCTTGGCAAAAGATAACGGCGCGGCCCTGCACTCTGCTCGCTCACGTCACTGCTGTCGGACGAGCCTCCTCTATCGAGAGACGTGGGGATCTCCAGACAGTTACGTTCTCGAGTGGCATTTGGCCTACTCTTCCGCGCTGATGAGAAACGAGCCAGAACACGTGTCAGTACACACACTTCACCCCACCACACGCGAGCTGCCGATCAACTGTTTGGTGAACCCATGACCCCACTTGTTCACTGCTGCGTGGGCAGCAGGCTGATTGGGGGTGGGGGGGGAGGAGCTTTGAAGAAATGTGCCCCCGTTGTTTGAACCGCCGTGCCGTGAAATGGAATCGAACCGGCGGCCTCTGGATTGCATGCCGAATGTTTCGACCGCTATCAATATCGAGACGCGCGAGATGCAACAAAAAGTTATCCAGCTACCAGCCCCTGGGCTCGCCTGTGGATCACACGGCCCTGCGTGTCCCCGTTTGTCCGCGCGCACGCGATAACCCCACGCCTATGCCACCCCCATTCCTTCCGTGTCCCACCAACCCCAGGAATTCCAGCATCGTGAGACTAAAGAATTAAACTACAACAACCAATAATCTCTCGCTTCCAACTCTCCCAAGTGTCGCGTCCTCTTGTCGCAGTCACGGACCACGAATCGAGCGTCACACCGATCGATCCGACATCATCGCCACCACCCACACCCCACCTGCATCGTAACCACCAACAATCACCACCATCATCACCAATCCTCACCAACTTCAACATCCTCACCACGAATGTCGCAATGACCACCATTGTCAGCATGGTGATTGGGAGCGGTGGCGCACGCAATGCTATGATGCACCGCTTTGGAGGGCCAGGGGTCGGTGGACCACGCGGGGATTTGTACGGTGATCAGAACCCCAAGCGGGGCTTGCAAACCCGCCCGTGGGAAACCTTTAAGCATCATTAATATTCTCAAGTTCCATTCACACAAACCCCATCTCCAACAGGGATCCCGCGAATGGGGGTGGGGAAGGACCAGTCGAACGCGTCACGTGGTCATTAATCAATGAATCAGCACTATTGTTAAACCAGTCGCCCCGCTCATTAAGCCACAAATGAGGCCTTCGCGCCCGATGATCCTACTAAGCAGAGAACCGCACTGGGTCGTATGACTGACTGTGGGGTTCTTTTCAATTAATGACTATTATAATCACACTTGTATTAATATTATACCACGTGTGAGGAGGAAATCCCACGCCTTGCGCGAGGGGGCAGCACCACTCCATACCCCGTACAGATGGAAGCAGATGTCGACGAGTCCACTTGCTGTGCCCACCTCCTCGTGGCGAGCACCCAGGGGTACATTGCAAACCTCACCGACGTCCACCCACGGATAGAAGGTGGGGGGGGGGGGCGAGTTTCAGAACATCCGCGTGTGATCCATCAACCCTCGCTGCTGCTGCTGCCTCCGCAGTGTTGGGTTACACAGGCAGGCCACGTGCGGTGTAGCCACCACCGCACGTGGGGTGTTGTGTGTAAACCGGGGGGGGGGGGCTGTGATGGTGGTAGCGAGCATCAACTAATGGTGTCATCCCCAGGGCACGTGCGAGGGATTGGTTAGGTCAGAACCGCGGCGTGTGTACGCCCGGCCGCCTTTGTTTCACCCATTATTGGGGGGGTGGGAGAGTTGAAATAAGTAGTAACCGGGACTGGCCAAGATTGTGCGGTTGTACATCACGCACGCACGCACCCTCTAGCAAAGACAAAGACCCCCCGTGTAGCCTGCATAGATTATTGCGGCAAGTGCTGCTACCGAGAAAATAGAGGTCCGGGGTGGCTCACGCAAGCGGCGCGGTGTGGCCAGAACCACGCCCGAGCGCCTTTGTCTCCCCAGCGTCGATGTTTACACGCCACAACAGATGCTAATTTAGGGCTGAGTCGACCTAGGGGAAGCACAGAACCTGTACGGATATCGTTTGCCCCCTGATGTTGGGCCAATAACGTGGACATTGATGACACCAATCACACGGTTATGCACAACAACAACAACCGCCGTTCACCACTAAGTGGCGATGACCCACCACGTCGCTCGTGCCATGCTAGGTGCACTTCGAGGCTACGTGAAGTGACAAACGAGGCTACGTGAAGTGACCGGAGGTCACGGAACAGAGCCAGCAGCTGCCATGGGTTCACCAACTCAAGATGCCGGGCGGACGCACTCAACACTGTGCCCAACTTGCTGCGTTTTAGCCACCCGGCGCTCCACTCGTTGTTGTGAGCGTCGCTTCTCTTGCCCTCCGTTGTTGCTAGGAGGGCGACTGCCTCCTCCAACTGCCCAGTGGCAGCAGCGTCCATCAACGAGCCTCCTCCACAGAATCCGACCTTGGCACCGCTGGTGCCACCACCATCATCATAATCTCACACACACACACGTGTAATTAGTGACTCAGACCAATTAAGCGGCCGTATTTAAACCCAGCTGCTCGAACGTACGTGTGGGTCCCAATTTAAGTTAATTGCAATTGCGAACAGAGCAGTTTGTGGAACCGGACTGCATGGTCGAGTAACTAAGTCATCATTCCCACCCATCAGCATCGTCTATAAAATCAATTTTAGTGGTTCTCAACCTCTGTTGGCTCCTGTTCTATCCCCCCCCATCTTGTTGAATTGTTTAAATCGAGTGTACCACCGCCACCTTGCCTGACCCAACATGGTTCGGAGAATTAAATGTATCAATATTTTCACCAATCGTCTATTTTGTGAGGTAAACTAACTAGCTGCTAAGTAACTGCAAGCGAATAAAATCAAAATCAACGCTCTGAGTGCGTGACTCGATTTGTTCCCCGCTCGCTGGCTACTCTTGAAAACCAACATTGTTTACCATATTGGATTTAAATTCTCATCGTAGTTATCTTATATTGGCAGAATCGTATGTGAGTATTCACCAATGACTTATGTATGATATAATTTCACACTTTTATAAATCACCTCACGTTGCGCCCTGGGACATTGCCACGTACCCCTCCCGGGGGTCTGCGTACCCCCCCCCCCCCCCGAGGGGTCCACGTACCCCCCTCCCCAGGGGTCAATGTATCCCCTCAGGGGTCCACGTACCCCCCCCCCCCCCCAGGGGTCCACGTACCCCGCCCCAGCCCCCCAAAGAGGTCCGCGTACCCCCCCCCCCACCAGGGATTCGCATATCCCCTCGGGTGTCCGCGTACTCCGCCCCGCGTACCCCCCCCCCACCCCCCCAGGGATCCGCGTACCCCAGGTTGAGAATCCACTACTCTATATCATCGCCACGATTACCGCCATCATCCATGGCGTATTTGCTCCAGGTTCTTCGGACGGTGGTAGCCAGGTCAAAGTTGGCCTTCCGACTTGTCCAACGGGCGAGTTCTGGACCGCCATCGCCGATCCAACGTGCGCGCCATTGCCCCCCTCTGTCGTTGGCTCTTTGGATAACGACCCGCCAATTAAATGTGCGTGAAGCAATTAAGTGGTGGCTGTCCGTTCTTGTCGTTTGTGAGAGGTGGCATAAGTCTGGGTTACAGTCCTTCGTTACACCCATCGGGCCGAGTGAAATATGCCCGGATGTTGAAGTTCGTATTTAAGGAATGAGTTTCTCTCTAATCCCCAACCGCTCACCCTCTTGCGAAGCTCACCACGCGCGCCTGCTCGCCATCCTCGACACCCCCTTCCTCTCCCCCCTCCTGTTACACACCTCCCCACCCCTTAATTTTAGCAACCTTCACCCTTCCCACCCCGTCTCCCCTCTAGATTAAAAATTAATTTCTATACAACTGCTTTGTCTTTTAGTTTGTCCTTCCCCCACAACCTCTGGTAAGCAGTTGGCTACGTACGGTGCGAAAGAAGTTCGACACACATGCATCCATCCCTCTTCCCGAATCCTCACCATTCCTTCTCACCGCCCACCACCTCCCCCAGTATCACCGCACACACGTGTGACGTTATAGTTCAATCCCCATTGAAATTAGGCGATGGTTGGGCAGTAGAGCAAAATGTAGACTAATCCCCATCTGTTACATCTGTATGGCAGGCATGACTGAAAACATCTTCATATATTGAGGGCTGCAGAGCTTGGGCAATTGAATGGAGCCACCGGCTCAACACCTGGCCGCTGCTTTCCCGCTCGTCCTTGGGTTCCTCCACGCGCACGCCAGTCACTCTCTCTCTCGCTTCCGACAGCGAGCAGTTACAAGTTGAAATAATAATAATTATTACTACGTGACACTCAAAAGGTGACCGAGGTCAGCTTTATTGTGATACAAAAATACTTGACACGCGTGTTCTTGGCCAGACGCGAAGAGACCCGTGTCTCAGTGAATGCACCGCCCATTCACAGCAGCACACATTTAGACACACGCACAACCCATTCAGACATACACACCACCCATTCACACAGATCCCCCGTATAGCCTGAACAGACTGTTGGGGCAAGTGCTGTTTAGCAAGCACCTATGAAGGCCGGCACGGCACACGAGGGTGTGGGTGGCCAACACCACTGCCCGGCCACCACCTTCGCTTCCCTAGCGGCGATGTTTACACGTCGCACCAGGTACTCATTTTATCAGTCGGAGTCGAATTACGGAAAGACTTGGTTCAGATAATCGTCACTGGTGTTGGCCGTGAGCGGGAATCGAACTCGGGTGGCCGAGTTTGTAGTGCAACGCACTAACTACTACACTACCGCTCCCCACTCGCACACAAAGACAGCCACACACCACACATTCATTCATTCACACACGCATGTTGACGCGCGCACGCACAACTCAACTTGAGCCAAACAGCGGATTGACCATTGGTCGACGCTTCCACCGGTAATGGCAATGTTACGGAGCAGTGGCGAGGAAACACACACACAGACACTCAACTGTCGATGAATAATTTACAAAATCAACCGAACGCACACGCGGTGCTAGAAGCAGGCCGCCAGGGCAATACGAACGCACACGTCTGGCGTGGTCGTTGCAACCCCATCACCTCGCCCTGTGGAAACACGCGCGCATACACGCACCAGGAGCAAAAGCCTCCCCTCCCCCCCCTGCCCCCCGTCAGCATACGCACTCTACGCTCTCGCTGCAACATCCCGCGGTTGGAACATCTCAGCCAAGTCACCCGGCGGCGCTGCTCCTCTCGTCTCATCTGCCGCTCACCCTCTCGTCATCCCGACTGCGGCGTTCCCTTCCTCTCGCTCTCTCCGCTGCCTCCTGCCCCATCGTCACCCCCCTCTCGCCGTCTCTCTCACCCTCTCCGCCGCTCCCCCGACGACTTGCTCGATCGCTCGCTTGCTCCCCTCCGTCACTTGGCGCTGTCGACAAGGCTCTGTAGCGACGTGGGCACCCACGTCTTCTCTCCCTGCACGAAGACGACGCCCCGGTCGATGTATGCCACCTGGCGCCCAAACGTGTACAGCTGCTTGCCCTCGTGGCGCCGGCCCAGCAGCGGCATGAACACGATGTTGTTCTCCTCGGCGCGCGCCTGCACCAGCTCCTTGAAGCTCAGCGGCACCGGCTGAGCGACGCCCACGGCCAGGCCGCCGGCGGGGCCCGGCGGGCCCGGGGGGACCGCCGAGGCCGGAGGGGGCGCGGGGCCCCCGTCGGGCTGGAAGTCTCGCCGGCGCTCGGTCTGGGTGAGGTAGGCGATGTGCTCGCGTGCGCCGGGCTGCGTGAAGCCCACGGGTCCTGGGGTGGGTGAGACACAGGGGGCGGGTGGGGGAGAGAGTGATGCAGTCATTAATGTCGTGAGCCTGCGGGGGACATGCGACCGCGTCAGACAACATCCGCGCCTCCGATTAGCACGGTTGGCTATGTACAATGCGAGAGAAAGTTCAACGTACAGAAATACATCGTTGTGATGTGAAAAGAAAAAAATATACATTTGTCAACAGTACTGTGACCTTAAAAAGTCAGCAATAGGCGATGTTTTGGGCAATGGCTCTTCTTCACAGCACATAGACAGGCCACAGCGGTGGAGTGTAATTTGCGCTCGTGCACTAGCGCCAACGCAGTCCCGCCAAACATTCACCAAATAATGTGATATGCAGCAACACCGAGAGCTACACTATTGCCTACACCTAGAGCATACCCATGGTAACTATCAACAGTATAACATTCACCATCACCCACACGTACACAGTCACCTATGGTATACGCTTCACAATCACCATGACCATACCCACCACCAAACAAAGACAAAGATCCCCTGTATATATTCTAAATAGACTGTTGGGGCAAGTCCTGTTAGCCAGCACCTATGAAGGTCGGCACAGCACGCGAGGGGGTGCGTGCCTAACATCATGCCCGGCCGCCTTTGTCTCCCCAGTGGCGATGCTTACATACCACACCAGGTACTCATTTTAGGTTTAGTTGACCTCGGGGAGTCCCAGGACCCATTCAGATTATCGTCACTGATGTTGGTAGTGAACGGCCATCGTACTCGGGTCACCGGGTCCAGAGCACAGCGTGCTAGCTAACCGCTACACTACCACTCCGCCCTTCATACCACCATCATCATCATACACACACCAGCCCAAAAGTCTCACTCCTGCACAGCTACAATTCCTTGGATACAAGGGTCACCAGGATTTCGCAGGGGAGCCAAAGGAATCCTGGTTGGAATAAAGGAGCAAAAGGATACTGGAGGAGAGGGCAGAGAGTCACGGAGAGTCACCCCGAGCCAAAAGGAGCCACAGAAAGCAATGGGAAGACACGGGGGAGTTATGGAGAGGCACGAGGAGTCACAGAGCCACAGGAAGCCATTTGTGGGGGGTCATGGGGAGCGCGAGGGGTAGCGACGGGAGTGCCACGGGGGAGCGAGGCATCACGAGGGGCGATTACCGTGCGGCATGGAGACGGCGCGATTCATGATGTCCAGCGCCTCGCTGAACTTCTCCTTGACGGTGACGTGCGCCAGCAGCTGCTCCGAGAAGAGTGACTTCCAGCCCTGGTACCACTTGATTATCTCCTCGTAGTTGGGGTTGTTGCTGAGCCACGCGCATAGCACCTGCGTGCGACGACGCGCATAGGCAGTGTACGTTCAGTACGTTGAACTTCTTTCGCACCGAGTGAACATGGGGGCCTTAGCCTGCTGCCAGTAAGGTGCCGATGCATAATCGCAAATTGAGAAGAGCGAGTAATGGTTCAAATTTGGTAAATTTGAAACGTGGAGTCGGGCACACAATGGCCTGCTCTTGCGAATTACACTGTGAAGCAGATGGTATAGAGTATTATTATGATTATTAATACACCTGCAGTATAATCAGGGCAGCCGCTAAATTCGAACACCAAACCTCTGCAACAAAACTTAAAACTATGAACTATTAATATTTTACCAGGTCAGGCCCACTAAGCTACACAGCTCTTTTCCAGAAGCGACCTGGCCACAAATAATAGCTCAACGAAGTGGCTTATCACGTGGAAATTTATCGCAGCCAAACACTCTAAACGCACGTTGATTCTATATGTGGATATGTGGAGGGAAAAACCAGGGAGAACACGCAAACCACAAATAATGCAGCAGGCATCAGGGTCGAACCCACGACCTCCTCTATTGCCAGGCCAGGTAGTGAACATCTCGCCACCGTAGCGGCCCACAGTATGACGAGGTGATGGTCTCACCTGGAGCCACTTGGCAAAGAAATGTTTGTCGAGCAGCGTGACGAGGCTGGCGGGAGACAGCATCCCTTCCCAGTCGATCACCCAGCGGAAGGGGTCCAGGTGCTGCTGGTGAGGGTTAATCACGAAGTCCGAGAGACACATGCCTGGGAGGGCGGCAGACACGGCGCCGGTTGTGAGATGTTTGGTTCGACCCGACTCTCCGCTCCCCACCATCGTCACAATGGCGCACTGTCTATCCACTGCTGGGTGAAGGCCTCCCTAAGTCGATGTCACTCCTTAAGGTCACGCAATGCCAATATTCCAACGTGTGACTTGAAGAGATCAATGACATTGTGCAGATGGAAATAAATGCGGGAGAGTTGATTGCCAAAGCTTCACTGTCGTGTCCATGTCGGTCACAGTTAAGAGACTGATAATGATGACAATGGTGATGGTGATGGACTGATCATCCCCTGAGGAAATAATGCATAGCACGCATCACAGTGGACATTAAAGATCCCGTGACATTTTTTGAAAAACAACAGACCACGTCAACTGGCGGAAGCGGGGGGGGGGGGGGGAGGCCTTCGGCTGGACAGTGGCAGGGCAAAAGAACGAGATGAGATGGAGGTATTTCAGGACCCCATGAATGCAAACCCTTCTCTCCTTAGCTCACCGAGTTTTGGCAGGATGTGCTTGAGCATGAAAGCCTCCCAGCTGCCCGGGGAGAACACCTCCTTCCACGGCCGCAGGATGAGTTTGGCGGAAGGGTCGCTGGGATGCCAGCGCTGCAGGGCGCTGCCCAGCTTGCTCCGGATGGGCGAGTAGAGCGGCTCTAGGCGAGCGCCGCCCATCAGGGGCAGCCACGGGTGGATCCACGCGTGGATGGGCACCGTGTCTGTCAGCGGGTTCCAGTTTTCCACCTGCGCGCAACAACCCGGCGCTTATTTCAGCGCGTAACATTCCCACCCTGCGATGTTCTGCAATTGCCGCACTGCCGACGGTGTTGGGCTGTGGTCGTGAGTCTCTATGTAACTCTACGCGTCTATACGAGTCACTATGGATCTCTGCGTACCTCCGATTAGCACGTTTGGCTACGTCGGGTGCGAAAGACGCTGAACATACATACATACATACTGTGCAACTCTATGGATCTCTATATAACTCTATGGATCTCTGCGTAACTCTATGTAACTGCCGCCACTGCCAACGGTCTTGGGCTGTGGCCGTCCTTGTGAAGGAGCTGCTCAGCTCAGTGGGGCCTTCGCTGGTGAACAAATAATGCACGGCGTGCAGCACGTGATGAGCAACGAGCGAAGTGCAGTGTAGTTAAAACAAAACTAGAAACAGTGTGCCGCTCTCGGGTCCTGCACAGGTGATGTCGAGAGTGTGGGTGAGAGCACGAGGGTGAGCAGTACGGTTATGAGTTAAGGTGAGTTGTAAGGGTTAAGATTTGGATAAGAGTTGGGGGTTTAGATTGAAGTGAGGATTAATGTGAAAGGATATAGTGAGTGTTATGGGTCAAGTGAGGAATCGGGTGAACGTAATGTCGAGGACGAATTGCAAAGGGACTGTGCCTCGAACAAAAACAACTTGCACCGAAAACTAAAAAGCGGCGGCAGTAAAATCCGAGCGAGCGAGAGAGTTGCGAACCTCGCGCTGAAGTTTGGGGAAGATAAGCTGCTCCAGGACGTTGTTGAGAATCCAGGGCGGCAGGAACTCCATCCAGTGCTCCACCATATCCACCATGGGCTCGCAGGCACGCGGCTGCCACCGCACCACGGCGGAACGCACGCACGGCATCCACGTGTCCCACATGAGGCGGTGGTAGGGGTCCATGTTGGTGCCGCCGCCGCCGCCGCTGCTGCCGGCGAGCGGGCCCAGCTGTGGGTGGACGGTCTGCAGCACGTTCTGGCTCTCCTCCAGGATGGCCTTCCACTCGCGTGCCACGTCCAGGCCGAACGACGGGTCCTAGGCGGAAATTCAGGGGTGCGGGGACGGGGGGTGAAAGGTGAAAATCGCGGCGACTCAATTTGGCGAATTGTCGTCGTGATTCAAGTGAAGAAACTGCTTCAGTGTTTGTTCAATGGTGTTGTGAATGTGGAACCCCTAGTGGCTGCAGGGTTTATGTTAATTACATGCAAGGTACACAAATTATAATTAAATGACTAAGGCACTTAAAATGATGCGTGTGATATGAAGGCAAGAATGAATTTTAACTGGCGAATAGATGCATCTTTGCACACCTACGATACACAGAGCATGATCGTTAACCGAAGAATGAAGCAATGTATCATTACATGCTCCTTCACGCATTCCCACAGCACCCTTCCTAATCCAGGCAGAGCCAAACAACTATCTTATCAGGTTAGGCCCACTGAGCTATATTGCTCTTTTTAAGAAACAACCTGGCGACACATGATAGCTCAATTAAGTGGCTGATTTGGAGGGAAAACCCGGAGGACCCGGAGAAAAATCCACGCAACCACAGGGAAAGAGACACGCAAACTCCAAATATACAGGCGTCAGGGTTGGAATCAAACCCAGGACCTCCCGCATACTTGGCAAGGGAGTTAACATCTTGCCAGTGCGGCACCGATGCACCCCCCCTTGGCACCTTGAGGGGGTCCCACCCGGCAAAGCTCTGCTTGAGGAGTGGCTGCACGGTGAGCACGGCGAGCGTGGCGAGGTCGAAGGCGCGGTATTCCTCGTAGAATTCGCTCTGCAGCGAGCGGAAGACCCGGGCCGCGTCGGCGAGGCCGAGCGGCGGCTCCCCCTCCCCCGGCGGCACGTCCCCCTCGAGCGAGCGGGCGCGGCGCTCGCAGGACTCGGCCACGGCCAGCACGCGGCCCAGCCGCTCCACGGCGCGGTCCTCCTGCTCCAGCAGCGCCTCCAGCCGCTGGGCTTCGTGCTGCAGAGCCACCACCTGAGGTCGGGACGGAGGTGGTGAAACGAGACCGCCCGCGCACTCTTGAAGGGTCGAGGGGTTTCTGGTGGGATTCCTCCAACGCCGGAGGTCTACCCTCGTGCCCCCACTATCGCGGGGCTCTCTGCCTTTTTCCATGTTCACCAGCTGTCCCCCGTTTGAACGCAAGATGGCTGGTTATGGTCTGACTATCGCCGAGCGCTTTCCAGATGACGCCGAGAGCGTTGCATTTTTAATCAAGCTTGGTTCTTCCTGCGTGCGCGTGAATGAGTGCGTTCCCGGCGACGTGCAAGTCGGACTTCTATTAAAAACGGGGATCTTGTGTACACGTACGCGTGTGCCCCACTTTGGCAGGGAGGCACCGATTCAACCTGCGCGTACTTAACGCAGACGGCCCGATTCAAATGACAATGAAGACTTTGTTTGGGCGTACGCGTGTCCCACACGAGGTAGAGAGAGAGAGCAATGAGCATGGTTGGATACGTACGGTGCGAAAGAAGTTCCACACACTGACATTCTCAAGTCAGAGTAGGGATATCTCTATGTGTGGTGTGGGACACTAGGCCCGCGCAAGCGTGCAACGACCCCATCACCTGGTTCTTCTCGTGGCGCAGCCGACGGTCGGTCTGCACAATGTCCTGCTCCGTGAGCTCCACAAGCAGCTGGAGGTTGTGCTCCAGCTCCGGCAGGGCGAATCCCTTGCGCTTGCTCTCGCTCGGCGCCGCGGTTTCTCCCTCCGCGGCCTCGGCCTCGTCTGACGGAACGCTGTGGCGCTGGCTCATCTGATCGTAGCTGTAGTAAACCTTCTGGCTCTTGCCAGTCAGGTCGATTACCTGCAGGGGGAAACAGACGGTGTTCCGCGCATCCTTACTTGCTATTTATTCTATTTTTTGTATTTTACTATTTATATTTTACCAGCTTTGGCCCACTGAGTTATATAGCTCATTTTCAGAAGCAACCTGGCCACAGATGATAACTCGACGAAGTGGCTTAGCACGTGAAAATATATAGCAGCCAAATACGCATGTTGATTCTAAATGTGGAGGGAAAAATCGGAGGGCCCGGAGAAAAATCTACGCGACCACGGGGAGAGACATGCAAACTCAAAATATACAGCAGGCGTCAGGATCGAACCCACGACGTCCTGTATACCGGGCGAGGTAGTTAACATCTCGTCACTGTGGCGCCGACGACGCCCCTCAAATGAGCGGCTGGAGAGGTTCACGGCAGCCGTGTCAGGCACACAAAGGGCAGCACCGCTGAAATTATGGATTCGAGTCTGGGTTGTCCCAGCAAAGGGAAGTGCTGCGAGCGAGAGAGAACCCCACCTTGACTTGGCTGAGCTGTGAGGGTGGCGCCACCTTGCGGCCCAGCCCCTTAGCCTTGAGCTCCTCCACGGTGCGGTAGGTGTACCGTGGACCCTTCTTGGTTGCGCCGGCTCCGGTGCCGGGCTCCTTCCGCCACTGGCTCAGCTGCTGCTTGAACTCCTATTAGGGGTGCGGGGGGGGGCGTCACCACGTGAGGATGCCGGCTAGGCGTGCGACGGCGTGATGATGCGATAGCAGCCGCAATATATGTGTGTATGTTGAACTTCTTTCGCCGCCGTACGTAGCCAACCGTGTTTATTGGAGGGCGGGGGAAGGACAACAAACTAAACACAAGCAGCAATGATCTCGAGTCAAGATTTCATTCAGAGATCGTTTCTTTTTTTTGTCGCATTTCTGTTGTCTTTGCTTACTCAAATATTCCCGTTTATCCGATCCGACTGGCCAACTGCCTGAGAAAAAAAGATCACCCGAAATACACGCGAACTCATATCTCGGAAGCTAAGCCGAGTTGATAATTAATAGTTATTGGATGGTCGAACACCATGGTTAATAAAACGAGGGTTCTAGACTGCTGCAGAGGGCAGTCTAGCACTGCACTCTGCTGCCCACAACAACATAGGGCAGTGCAGCAGTGCACTTCTATGCACAAACATCGATACTCCCCTGCCTTCATCGACGCACACCGACTGGCCTGGTGAAGTATGGTCAAATCGCCATCACGAGTCACGGCACGGGGAGGCCCCCATTCAGCAGTGGGATGCGTGTTCCATTGGTCTAGGCCTAAATCTATTATCACGCAACCCCACAAGAAACGTTGCAAAATGCAATGCCGGCTGACGTCTCGTCGTGTACAAAATTGCACTGCGTCGAGTTATTTTCGCTTAGACGGGCAAACGTGACGTCAGGCGAGTCCCACCTCCTCTTCCTCCTCGTCGGACTTGGGAGCCGGGAAATCATGGAGTGACTGTTTGGTGCGCTCCGGACCGTGCGCTCCGATCGCTCCTCGGCCCTTGCGGACCTTGGCTTCCACCGGCAAGACGATGCCTGCGCGAGCACGCGACACACACACACACGCGATACACACACACGCACGGAGCAACAACGCCAGCGGTGATGTAGCTGATGATGCCGATGATGACGTCAAAAAGCACAGCCTCCCATCCAGTGGCACACGTGGGAATTAAGAGGCGAGAGGTTTTTGTTTTTCCCCACTCACAACTATATGCGTGTTATCCAATTAGTCGAGTAATCAAACTGATAATCAGTATGCAATTGACTTAAATAATCAGATATCCGGGCTCTGGCAATCTCACCCTGCGCATTCTTGCCCAGTCCAAGGCCGGGGACGTAGCCCATCTTCTGCAGCAGCTTTTGCCCAATGCCCTTCGTGTGTCGCTCCCAGCTGCCGAAGCCCTTCTCAGGGGGCAGTCCGGCCACGGTACGGGAAGGCCTGATGCCCCCCTTCTGGGACTGAACACACGCACGTGCGCACACACAGCGAAGACTTGGAACGTGTTTACGCGTGCACGCTCACACCACTCACCCCGTAGGCCGGGGTTTCCATAGAAAAACGCAGCTCCACAGCACCAACCAAGGAATGTCGTTTGGCTTTAACCAATTTACTCGTGTTCAATTCAAATTTCTATCTTTGCACACTTCACTTGCCTGATGATTGGTAAACAGGTAAGAGCATTACCGAATTAAATTGATAGGAATCAAAGTGTAGCGGTGGCGCAATGGTAAACACACTGACATGATGAAGCTGGCGACCCGGGTTCGATTCCCGGCCACGGTCAACGCCAACTGCAATTTTGCCAACCCATCTTTTTAATTTTCCCGTGAGCTCGTCGCTTCCGACGGTCCCGCACCGTCTTGCGCGTCCACACGGGACCCGTCGGTGCGATTGTGCGCGCATATTCGCGTGTGCGTCGCCAGACCTGCCTGGCGCCGCGCCCACCCTTCGCCCTCTGCAGCGCCTCGGTCCAGGGCCCCAGACGGGCGCCGTCCTCCTCGCCGCCGGAGCCCTTGCCCGAGACCCCCTCCTCGTCCTCATCCTCATCCTCCTCTTCCTCGGCGGCAGGACGCTTCACGCCGCCGCTCACAAAGCTCACGGGGGCCGTGAAGTCGCGGTTCTTGCTTTAGAGATCGATGCACAAAAAAAAACGGTGTAAAAACGTGCCGGCAAATCAGGCTGGGCTTTTATTACAGGAAGCTCATTGGGACGATCAGAGTAACGGGAGTAAAAAAAATGTAATAAACACCCGTGTCTTTTATGACTACGTCACTTGTCGCAAGCAGGCAGGGCGAGGGTTGGAGCACGCAGCCCTAAAGTAATGTTTCTCTTTCTTGAGCTACTACGCTGCCGGATGATGGTCTCCCCATGACGTGTCGGTCATGTGGGTTATATCACCATACTTCACCACACTGATGTGAAAATAATTGTCACACGTGTACAATTTAAGGTGTGCACCGTTTGTGTGAGAAGAGATTTTAAACGATTAATTGATACATCGTTACAAATATACAGCACGATACCAATCCCATTTCCCCACAGTTGACACTGGTGGTGTCAATGATTATTTCAAGTCATATGTTACTGTGGTCATTACGATGATAATGATAAGATATAAATGAGTTAAGGCTGATGGTTAAGGTGAACAAGATGCTGCATGGCTACCTCATAGTGCACGTTGTACACACAGTGTATAATCCCAAAGACTCCCACTGAGACCCTTGCTGAGGTCTCCCACTCATACCCCTGCTGAACTCCCCACGGGTCCCTATGCCATCACCCCCCCTCTCTCCCTGCCATCGTCGCACCTCCTCCCGCCCGAGAATCCGGGCCTCTCGTCGTCATCGTCGTCGTCCTCAGCCCAGACCCCGTACACGGCCTCCTCCTTGCTCTGGCGGTGGCGCACACGCTCGGGGTTGAACTCGTTCTCCAGGTCCCAGTCGGTCACCTCGAAACGCTCCACGTTCACGTCCTCGTCGCGCCCGTACAAGTGCGACATCGACATGGTGGCGGTGGTGGTGAGATCGCCCCTGGGATGCGAGGGGTGGCAGGATGGAAATGGGTCCCCGGGAGATGGGTTCTAGGAGGAATGCGCGTTTCAGGAATCGAGACAGGTCCCGCAACAGGTAGCTTCCAGGAGATGCAGGTTCTAGGTGACAAATACCAGCAGGAGCAGATGCCAAGAAAGAATCTGACCAGAGACGGGTCACACTAGGCACGGACACCTAAAGAAAGAGAAACCAAGTCTCAAGAGAAACGGGACCCACGAAAGGGCAGATCACCAGAAATTCGATGGTCAGGATAAAAGACCAGACCAAGGAGTGGTGTCCTAATGCGGACGACTGCTTGAATTAATGGGTCCCAGACTGGAGGTCTCAGGAGAAGCCGGGTCCTCAAGAGTGACGTTTGAGGAGACCCCAGGTGAGATCCTGGCGGAGTCTCCCACTTCACGCAGCGGCGAGCAGCCCGACCCCTGCTCGCCAGACACACGGAGAAACAAGGCGCGAGTGGTTAAGACTGGCGAAGAGATTTGCAAGACTACGGACAAAGTGACAGCATCCTCGTGAGCCGTGGTCTGATCCAATTATGAACTTAGGCCTTCCGACGCCACCACCACCACCACTCCCTCGTGCAGCTGCGATGCCACAAATGCATTTGACTGGTGAAGTTTGTGATTTAAGCTTTACGTGGTGGGGCAAGCCCGTGGTCCCAGCGTTGGGATTGGTGTTGCAAGGGTTGGTGACTCACGTAGAGATTTGCGAAACCTCCTGACCAACCCGATGGCCTGCGAGGTGGCTGTAACAATATGAACAAATATTCGGATTCTCATATAAAAGTTAAGGGCGCAGCCCCGCAATTAATTGCTGGCTTACGCCACTGCTGGCGAAAAAGGATTTCTGTATTGTACGGTATGAACTTCTTTCGCACCGTACGTAGCCAACTGTGCTAATTGGAGGTGCGGGGAAGCGCCACACAGCCCCCTACAGGGGGTAATTTGGCCTACTCTTCCACATTGGGCAGACGTCTTCCGCAGAGGTGGGAGTACCCACGCTTTACCCCATCTTCTAAAATTACTTACAACTATATTCTTTGGTTCTATTCGGTAAAGTCACGTAGGTAAAAAATAAAACAAAAATCACGACGTTTCGGCCACAACACAAGCGACCTTCATCAGGTGAAGGGACCAGCTCTCCAGCGCTGTCCTCGAGACAGCCTGGTCCCTTCACCTGATGAAGGCTGCTTGTGTTGTGGCCGAAACGTCGTGATTTTTGTTGTTTTATTTTTTACCTACGTGACTTTACCGAATAGAACCAAAGAGTATGGATCCTTGCAGTCACGAAAGCTTTAAATCTACTTACAACTAAACTACTTTTATTTTACCAGGTAAGGCCCCACTGAGATATAGTTTGTTTCAGAAGCGACACTGGCTATCCACAAAGGAAAGCAGCTCAACTTAGTGGCTTATCATCATCATCACATGGACATTTATAGCAGCAGCAGCCGCCAAACAAACGCAACTTTACAGCAGTAGCAGCAAGTGGGAATCGTAAATCCGACCTGCGGACTGTTTCAGCTTTTCCGTTTCATTTATTTGGTATAGCCCTGTGAGCCATTCGGCTCTTGAATCAAGTGCAACCGCAACAAACAAAAAAAACATGAACAAGAAAAACATCTTAAAGTGACTACGCGCAAACAGAAAAATCCAGAAAAAAAACAGCAAAAGCCTTCCAGAAAAATCACCGCACATCAATGACTGCTGCGATGCCATCGTCTGCGTGGTGAGTGTTCCCTCCTCACAGGAAGGGAAAACACGAAATATGGTTCTTTAATTTTGTTTTTTGTTTTAAAAAAAGGTCATTCATTCAGCCGATTCTGCTTGAATAAATTAGGTAATGTTAAAAGACTTTGCCGTGGCCTGCCAGACCCCGCGGCGCCTCAAGTACGGAGAAACCTCGGAATACTGCATACGTTTAGCCTCGGTCATTAACAAACGTTAAAAAAATCATGCGAAATTCGCTTCACACGATCACAGCGTTGGCTTCACACGAGCAGCAGCGACCCTAGGCCTCAGGGACACTACGTCCATCACGACGGGAGTCGTCGTGTTCGGAACTGGAGGGGTCCCCCCACCTCCCACTCACCTCGGCTGGGCGGCGGCGTGCGGCGGCGGCGTCTTAACTCGCGGCGTTAACCTCGGGGGAGGGGTTAACCTCTGGCGCTAAGACGACACCAGCGCCAGCAGCGTGGACATCGTCAACGTCGCCAGTTGAACGCCGCGCACCGCGAGCGAGGGCGGCAACGGCGACGCGGCGTGAGGTTTTCTTTAAAAATATTTTTGCCGTCGAGCGTCCGAGCTGTGATCAGCCGTGAAGCAGAGCGGCGGCCATCTTACGTAGGGGGCGGGGGAGGAGTCTCCACCCCCCCCCCCCGAATTGTAGTAGTGACGTCGACAAAGGTGCGACCAAGCCGCCGCAGCGGTTCGATCTCTGCAAGCGAACCGGGGTTGGAGGCCGACTCCCCCTACTCAATATGGCCGCCGATTGTCCACGACGTTCCCCATCCAACGTCGGCGTCTCTTTCTGACCACGTGCCCTCTGCTCGTGACGGAGTTGACGGTCGGCGATTTCTTTAGTTGATAACTTTAGTGGATAATCGAAATTTTAGTCGATAACTTTCTTAAACGTCGGTGGCTTTATTGAGTGAGAGTTTAACACGCAGGCGTTGTGCGGCTACATTAAAACCCCGTAGCTGTGAACCCCTTATCACAGACCAACTAAGACCTTATTGGTCACCACGTGCCACTTATAAATCTCAAAGTTCATCCTACAAAGTCTCATCACAAGGGAGACATTTTTATTTAAAGCTTTCGTGACAGCAGTAATTCATATTCTTAGCTCTTTCGGTAAAGTCACGTTGAAGGGAAACAATAAAATAATAAAATATATAAAACAATAAAAATTCTCACGTTTCGACCATAACACAAACGGTCGTCATCAGGTGTGTCGGTTTGCATACATTTATTTATTTTTTTACGGTGTATTTATATATAAAAAAAACGTCAGCGCCACGCACAGCGATTTGGCAGTTTATTTAGAAGGACGAGTCCATCTATGTTCTGAAAAGAGGAGGGGGGAGACGAAAAATTAATGTATGCTGTCTGAAAGCCACTGTAAGCGTGAACAATCAATTAAGACCTGAAATGGTTAATCAAATCTTTCCAATGATAAATAAACCGTTTTAAAATAAATAAATTAATGCAAACCGACACACCTGATGACGACCATTTGTGTTATGGTCGAAACGTGAGAATTTTTATTGTTTTATATATATATTATTATTTTATTGTTTCCCTTCAACGCGACTTTACCGAAAGAGCTAAGAACAAGGGAGAAACACAAATTTGCATGGGTTTCTTTTGCCCGTATTGAAACGGCTGTACGCCGTATGGACCTGAAAACTGAATTTCCCTTGTACAAGAATACGGGGGTATAACTCGTATGTTTTTCTTGTTCGTGTTTTTTTGCTTGTTGTGGTTGCACCCGATTCAAGAGCCGAATGGCTTACAGGGCTATACCAAAATAAAGAAACTGAAACTGTATGGGTTGACAGCGATGAAACTCTCCGTTTTTCCAGATAGGCTCGCAGTGATGACACCAACTCTGGCTCCTCGATTTCAATCCGAAAGGATTTGATAAACCATTTCGGGTCTTAATTGATTGTTCACGCTTACGGTGACTTTCAGACCGCATCCATAGGTGACGTTTCGGCCAATGGGGCAAGTGCTGCTAGCGAGCACCTATGGAAGCCGGCACGACACGAGGGGAGGGAGGCAGTACCACGTCCCCAGCCGCCTTTGTCTCCCCAGTGCTGATGTTATCACACCTCACCAGGAACCCATTTGAAGTTGACCGAGGGGGAGGCCCGGTTCAGATATTCATCACCGATGCGGAAGTTGAACTCGGGTCACCGGGTTCATGGCTCAGTGCGCTAACCATTGTGCCGCCGCCCCCCACGACACACACACGGAGAGACAAACACAAGGGGACTTGACCGTAAATCCATTTATTGCAGAAATTACGAGGCATTGGTTTCCCCGGCCGACCCCGAAATAAAACCGACTCTAGCCTAAAGATTGTAGTGCAAAAACACACGGAGCACTTAAAAGTCACATCCAGCTATAACTTAACCTGTACCTAAAGTGTCAATTCAAGTTTCATAACAGCTAGTCCATGGCAGCAAGGCACCGCTACTCAATGAATTAGCCACGATAAATTAAAAAATGCTCCACTACGTGAGGCTTTGGTAAATTAGCCTCGATCCGCACGAAATATGATGCGGGGATTCCATCTCTTCCATCTGCATGAGATCGTGTTGTCTACACATCCCCCCACTCCCCTAGCATGTGTGAGTTTTCTCTGGGTGCTCTGGTTTGCTCCCAGGTGTATAAATAAGCACACCGAGTTTGCTGAAAACATCTTAACACGTGTGGACTGCAGAGCTTGGGCGATCGTTGAGGCCAGCTCACCGCGTGACTGCTGCCACCCTCGCCGCATCAGAGTCGTTCTCTCACCCTCTCTCTTCCAGAGCGAGCGACTTGCTGTCCGCGTTACAAGTCGACGTGAGTATAATGACTCAAGAGCCACTCTTACTCCCATTGCACATTTCCAAGTCACGGCTTTAAACATTCCAATTCCAGTTTGGGCTCGGGTTGATGCCCGTTACGGACTGGGGTTGAGAATCGCCATTCGCGAGGTCCAATAAGGCTGTAGACCAAACTGTATACATATTTTGGGGGGGGGGGTGTGAAGTTAAATATACAGCTGTCATTGTCATTTATTTACTTTAAGGGCATAACTGAGCGAAGGCATTTCACATCCAACATTCATTTAATTTAGTAAACTTTTTTTTACACTTTCAGTAAAACAATGGCCTCGCATGTGACCTTGCGACAGACTAAGGGCCCTTGTATCACGACAGCAGCGGCGCTAACGAGCTCATGTCGTCAACATCACGAGCAGGCATGCTACGATGCCCGCATTCATAAATTAAATGGATTCCGATACGATGCGTTGGGAATCGAATTGTGCATGTGATAATCCGCTGTTTTAAATTAAATTCAATGCGAACGGGCTATGTTGTGGGTAGCAGCGCAGCAAAATATTATTGTTGGACTGCACGTCAATGTTCCCGTACCTGTGGTCCCCGTTTTCACCAACCTGCACCAAGTGGTGTGGTCGAGTATGGCCAAATAACCCCCACGACGGGCATGGCATGGGGAAGCCTCCATCCAGCAGTCGACTAACAATAAGGCCGTACACGTACGTGTCAAACGCTAACGTTATGTTAAGGCTAACGGAGCAAACAAAATGGAACGAGACAGGCAAAGACTAAGAAACAGCGCAAATGAGATGGCAACAAACGAGGTAAAATATAAAAATTGTAGGATTTCACAGCCAGCACTACGATCCATATCTGTTTTTGGGTCAGGTCATGTAGTTTTGTGCCAAAAAAGTATTGTCATTAACCCTCCAGCAAAGATATGATTTCTTATCTGTCAACCCCTTATCAGTGCTTACCTTATGGCAGACCAATTCAGACCTTATTGGTCACCCCGTGCCCTTACAAATCTCAACGTTCATCCTACAAAGTACCATCACAAAGGAGAAACACAAACAATTATACATTTTTGTAATTGCCCGCATTGAAACGGCTGTACGCCAAAAGGACCTAAAAACTAAATTTCCCTGTATAAGAATATTGGTAAACCGTATGGGTTGACAGCTATGTTTTTTTACACCTGCCCAATATATCGATCAAATTCTGACCAGTAAAGCTTCTCACCGATGCCTTAAAACATTTCGTGGCCAACACACGACGTTTCATTCGGGACTGTTTTGTTGATTGCAAATTTAGTCGTGAAAATTCTGAAGCTGTGGTTGGTCAGAATATGATCGGTACGTTGGCCACGTCTAAAATTACTTCTTGGTAAACGTGACAAGCCTTGTCGGGGTGGTGGAGGTCCACCGACAAGAATTTCGGCATCAACTACATGGCCGAACCCGAGAAAAAATAAAATACGGATCACAAAAAATATTCTATTCACGAATCGAACCCTTAAACTGAATCGTGATAACGTATCAAATTACTTTTGGGTGGATGAGGAGGCTGTTTAATCGATACGTGATATCTAACTGCTCGTGTCAACGCATCAGTGCGATGCGTATGCAGGCTGAACAAAGACTGAGGCGGGTGGGTAGCATCTCGAAACATCCAGCAGCATCTTGCCTTGTGTGATGCTATGCCGAGGAGCGCTAACCAACCGCTTATTCCTACTTGCACGACGGTAGTTTTATGTTCAATTCCGTTACGTCCGATATGCATCAGCATGATGAAAAAAATGTGTTCCCGAATACATTCATCACGTTATATCCAATTTGCGTTATAAAAACACGCGTTATAGGAGAACAGACTTATATAAGAAAAATTTACAGCGTATTTTTTTTCTGAAAATGAGGTTGTAGCCATGGGTCACCGTGCGGAGAAAGACGCTGATAGCTCACACGACGGTGAGCTCCCGTCACCTCCTGAGGTGTTACAGCCTGGTGACTTCACCTTCTGTGGACGCCCGGATTTACTTTACTGGCCGGAGAGCGACATCTGCGGGCGATGTAGGGGTGGAGACAAGAGATGCAAATAAAATGAAATCATTGTGTGAGCCGAGTATGGTGGCGCGTTGGCAAGTGCTGGCAGATTCATGTTGAGAACAAAAAGTACTGTAAAGGATGAGCAACACACCAACATAAAACAAGTTTTCCTTAGAAAAAAGTAAATGTTTTTACGTTCAAAGTGGAGAGCGGGCAGAGCCGTTATAGAAAACAGCTCGGCAAACCGCCACCCCACTGCCGTCTGTGAGTCGCAAAGCAACATACTGAGCAAATATCAAAGCATGCACAAATGTACGTGACTGGACAAGGCAACGAGAGAGAGTGAGATTCGCAGGCCATTCACTAACCATCCGTACATCCAACTGCGGATGCGACCGCAGCGTGAGAGTCGCGAAAGGCGCCGCCAAAGCTAGTTTAAGTCAGCGTTGTAATTTCTACATTCCGGTGACAGAGACCAGTCCATCCGCTGAGATCGAATCGTTCACACGGGGGGGGGGGGGGGGGGGGGGAGACGATTGACCTCACCTTGTGGGGGCTGAGCTCGGTGAGGGCCGGCCGGGCCGGCCCACGGGTGCGGCCTCCCAGGGCGCCGCACGCCAGCACCAGCAGCAGGGAGCCGGCCATCGCGGCCGCAGAGTAACTCAGCCGCAATCCGATCACGGAGCGTCGCTCCTGGGGTGCACAGGCGAGCACAGGCAGCACAAATTATGGTGACCCCCTCGCAGACTGGAAACGTCACCCTTCCATTCAGCTATCCGTCGACTCCCTGGCCCTGTTCAAGTCCAGGCTCAAGAGCGTCTTCTCTTTCTCCCTGCCCACGACTGAATGCTATAAAACATTGGCACTGTCTGGAGGGCATCTTGCAACGAGGTTACATTTTATATGGCCGCGTGCATTTTTTTTTGTATAGACCCAAGGACTTACATAGAGAACCAAAGCCTCACATAGGGAGTTACAGACTCACGCAGAGACCCATACACCCACCTTGGGACCCCACAGACTTATTACGTAGCGACTCAATGCAGAACCATAGACTCCCTGTTCCTGTTCGATTTCAGGCTCAAAAGTTTGTCTTCTTTGTCTACTTCTATGACTGACTGCCCCTTCAATTTGTTTCCTGGCCGCTCTGAAATCGGTAGGCATCATGTGGCTGGCAGGAGGCTGTACGATGCCAAGATGCGGGTCCGCATTTGGCTGTAGATTAATCAGCCCTGCTCTTTAAGCATCGCGTACACACACACACACAGGCCGCACCTGGGAGAGAAGCACGGAGAGTCCCGGCTCTTCCGTGTGGAACACCCTCAGGACGGGCGAACCCCGGCACCCGGCGCCGCTCGGCTTCCCGATCTCTCCCGGCCTCCGGGACCAGCCGGGATCCGCCGTCCCCTCGGCTACCGTCGCCTCCAGGCGCCGGAGTTCCGCGTCGACCGGGTCGCAGCTCTCGGGCCTCCTGACGGGACGATGACGATGCACGGCGTGACGCGGACAGCCGTACAGCGACCGAAGCGACGCAACTGCCCGAAGGCTGCGATGACACCCAAGCTGATGCAACGGCCCGAACAAAATTCAGCCAACACCCCTAGACAACACCCCTAGATAACACCCCTAGACAACACCCCTAGATATCACCCTTACTACCCCCAAGCAAGCGATGATGGCACCCACACTCACGGGGTGTTGGGCAGGACGCCTGAATCCGCCCACACAATCGCACACGCATTGTAGCTCGCCGCCTGACAGTTGCCATGGAGATGACAGTCGTCCGAGTCCCACGTGGTCGCCAGGGACAAGGTGACGTTGACGGGCCGACTCGGACCTGTGGGGGTGGGGGGGGGGGAGACAGCAGTCTACGCTCCGCCATCGGATAACCACATCCAGCGCGGCTCATAAGAGCTGACTGACCATATTTCACCGCAGCAGTCAGTGTGGGTGTCACTCCGACGTTAGCCTCGTTATGGAATCGAACTCGGGACGCGCTCGTCGGGCCACCGTGCTCAACCCCCTCCACCGCTTAGCTCACCGGCTAGGCGGAGAGCTTGTGACGGCAGCGAGATGCCCAGATGAGAGACGGCGCCCGACCGGCCCCACGCGGACCCCGCCGACGGCGTCAGGGTCACGAGGACACGCACCGACACGGGCCGGGAAAGTGGAGGAGCCGACGACGGCCCTTCGGCCCCGGGCCCCGGCGCCGTGGGCAGGGCGCGGGCCGGCCTCGCCGGGGCGGGCGGCGACGGAGGCAGCGTGACCTCCCGCGTGTCGTTATCCGACCGCTGCTCCTGTACGCACAGATCCAGCTCGCCCAGGTGCAGCAGGAGGGAGTTCCAGTCCTGGACGCAAGCGGCAACGTCAAGGAGCGTAAAGCATCACACGAACTCCGGTCATCCTCGCAGCAGCGGCGGCTTTTCGCTGGCCATGGAACAAAGGTGGTCGCTGCATCACGCGCCGCTTTCGGATGTGCTTCTGCGGCCGTCCGGAAAGTTCTTCCTTCTGATAATAGGAAGCCACTGCGAGCTATGCACTTTTAAATCTAGACTGAAAACGAATTTATTCATAACTGATTTTTGTGTTTAGTTTCTTGTCATTTGCCCCACACCTCCAATTAGCACGGTTGGCTATGTACAGCGCGACGATGGACGTGGTGGGTGGGGGGGGGGGTGTCCCCCACGTCCTCGCGGGGTCCCCGGGAGGTTATTTTTTTTACCAAACCCTATAGCGCTGGACCAGTGGTGGGCAACCTGCGACCCGTGGGGTCCCTTGTGGTGCCCTGGTCTCGGTGCGTCTCTAGGGCGATGTGTGGGGGTCATGATGTGGGCACAAGCGGTGTCCAGCTTGCGGCCCACTGAGGAGGAGGAGGGCCGCTCGTGTAGCCCGCCGACTATAATGTGGGCTGCCCGTCACTGCTCTGGACACTGCTGCGGGTTGGTCAAGGCAAGCACAGACGCTGGAGCATAGAAGTGTCGTGACTGTGAACGTCACTATGTGGTGCCGGGCTTGCGAGGCCACGGCGGATAATGTGTTGGCATTATGTGCAGCCCGCTTACTGAGCGCAGTGCCAGCCCTAGCGCGGAGGCACCACGTACAGTGTGCGGTGCGGGCTCCCGGTGATGGAGCGAGAGGGAGTGACAGCCAGCCAGGGTTACGTTGGGGCATGATACGCTGGTTGACCTGCCGACACGTGACTGGATGATATTGCAGGGGGGCCACCGGTGGACGGGGGCCACTGGGCGGTCACATGGTAAAGAGCTCTTCGGAGCCTTCGGGAAAGAGCTCGAGAGATCTAGAAGGTGGGCGGGGCGAGGGGCGGAGCCAGCCCCAGCCCGGGCCGATATAACGGGGGCCCCCTGAGGGGGTCGGGGTTCTTCGTGTTGCTGGTGAAGAAGATCCACGTCGGGTAAAAGAAGTCTCTAGCCACGGGGTCTGGGACCCAGCTTGTGGTCCGGACCGGGATAGCGGGACCGTGTCTAGTTCTGCCGTAGCGTGGTTAGATGGGCGTTCAACACCCGAGTGTAGGTTACGTTATGTTGTGTTGAGTTAATGTAATAAATAAGTGTTGCTCCCAAGACAACATCTGCGACTCAGTTGGACTACAGAAGTACAGACCAACAATGGGGTTTGGCTGAATTGCCCACTGCTGGCAAGGTAACCCCACAGCAGCCTATAACACGTGCCTTATGCAAGGTGGTTGCCAATCCAAGCACTATCCAGGCTCAAATCCAGTTTATCTTCCAAGTGCTGACGAAAGCTGGGCTTGCAATGTTGCTATAGGCAACTTTCGTTGCAGATGTGTGTTATGTATCATGTAGAATCGATACGACCACGTGCGGTAACGTGTGGGGTCTCTATGCACATGCGTGATAACACGTGCACTATATGTACACGTGTGCAGCAGACGGCTGTGCAGCAAAATCCACGAAGTAGTACCATGCACACCGACATACGCACATCACACACAGTACTCGCACATTACGTGTGTACATATGTAATGACATGATGACACCTGCTGGCTGGGAAAGGGATGCACGGACATGGGCACGGTTAAGGGAACATCCAATCTGAAAGGGAGAGAGGTATCTGGGGCAAAGGTAACAGGTGGGGTTGGCCGAGATGCCCTGGGGACCTGCTCGAAGGTTCCACGAGAGGGCGTGGCCGGAGGCGGGGCCTAGCCACGCCTGGGGGGATATAAGCGGGGGAGCGGACCCGGTGCTCGGGGTTCGCGTGTGGATTCTTGGGTTCTGGCTGCGTCGTTGCTCGCCGTCATCCCTCTCCGTCGTCCGGGCCACGTGGAATATCTCCTGCGGGGTTTCCATCGTCATCCTCGTCACGCCGCCAGCCAGCGGCGTAGCCGAGTGAGGGCGGTGGGACCAGGCCGAGTGACCGGCTGTGCGTGTGTAGCCAGTAGAGACGTTAATGTCTAAGTGTTGTAGTCGGAGTGAGAGGAATAAGGTTGGCCTGTGTTGTGCCCAGTGTGAGAATTAAAGGAAGAAATGCCCTCTACACGACGTGTCGCGGAAGTCGCTCATTACACATTTATGACATTACTTTGTACACAACCCACACGCTAGTGATACGTGTACACACACCGCACACTGCCACGTTTACACACACCGCACACTCTAGTGTCACGTGTAAAGTACACAAACCGCACCCTAACACGTGTACGCACAACACACAGCGACACGTGTACACACCACGCACAGCGACACGTGTACACACCACGCACAGCGACACGTGTACACACCACGCACAGTGACACGTGTACACACAACACACAGTGACACGTGTACACACGCCACACAGCGAGACGTGTACACACCACACAGTGACACGTGTACACACGCCACACAGCGAGACGTGTACATTACAGACACCACACCATACCCGCGACGTCTGCAGCAGTACAGACACGCGTACACACGCACAGTGACACGTGTACACACACCACACAGTGACACGTGTACACACACCACGCACAGTGACACGTGTACACACACAATGACACGTGTACACACACCACGCACAGTGACACGTGTACACACACCATGCACAGTGACACGTGTACACATACCACGCACAGTGAGACGTGTACACACACCACGCACAGTGACACGTGTACACACAACACACAGTGACACGTGTACACACACCACACAACAACCGCCATTCGCCACTAAGTGGCGGTGACGTCACCACGACGCTTGTGCCAGGCTATGTGCACCTTGAGGCCACACACGGCGACACACCACACCATACCCGCGACGTGTACAGCAGTACACAATGGCACGCACACACACACAGCGACACGTGTACACACACCACAACACAGGGACACGTGTACACAATGACACGTGTACATACACACCGGCACGTGAACACACATTGACACGTGTACAGTACACACACCACACTGTACCCGCCACGTTTGCGGCAGTACATACACTGCCACGTGCACACACTGCCACGTACACACACTGCCACGTGCACACACACACTGCCACGTGCACGCACTGCCACGTGCACACACACGCACTGCCACGTGCACACACACGCACTGCCACGTGCACACACACACGCACTGCCACGTGCACACACACACACACTGCCACGTGCACACACACACACACACTGCCACGTGCACACACACGCACTGCCACGTGCACACACACGCACTGCCACGTGCACACACACACACTGCCACGTGCACACAACGCCCTGCTCACCTGCGCCACGTCGGGGTCGCGCACCGCCACCCTCCGCACGAACTCCCCCACGCAGAGGCACGCGGCGCCCGCGGCCGCGCAGCACAGCGCGAACACGACCACGGGGGGCGTCACGGGCCCCCCGCAACGACGGGGGCCCATTGGTAGGGGGTCGGGGGGGGGGGACCTTGGACAGGGGGCAAGAGGGGGAGGCCTGATTGTTTAGGTCGGCCCGATCGGGAACCGGACTCCCAACCGCGACCACCCCCAACTCAGCCGGGGACCCCTCGGACGGGGTCGGCCGATCACATCCTGGAAGAGCTCACCACCCCCCCGCCACTCTCTAGGCCGAAATGAACACAGGAGGACCCCCACCAACCCACCCCAACAAATTGGGGGGTCAAATTTACTCACCCCCCCCCCCCCCACTACGCGCCCCGCGATGAAATCACCTGGCAACTGGATCCGAAGCGAAATGTAATGATGAGGGATCAATAAACCCCGATCGGGACGGGGTTTGAGCCCCGGGCCGCGGCTTCCTCGTAGGCGCCCCCCGGGGTTCGCCGAGGCCTCTCCCTAGCCCGGGGTTGGCTGCGGTTGTAGGGGAAGGGGGGGGGGGGTTTGGGGGTTCGTGTCGGGGGTCTATGTGGGGGGTCTAAGGGGGGGGTCTATGGGGGGGGGTTCTCCTTCTCCCCGCGTGGAGCGAGGGGATCGACTCACGGCGTCCAACTCGCGGCGTCTACGGGAGCCCGAGCGGAGTGACGTCACGGGGATCAGGGGGGGCACGAGGGGGGCCACGAGGGGGCGCTGTCACTGTCGGGGTGGGGGGGGCACGAAGGGGGGCACGAGGGGGGGGGCACTAGGGGGCGCAGTCACTGTCGGGGTGGGGGGGGGCACGAGGGGGGCCACGAGGGGGCGCAGTCACTGTCGTAGTGCCCCAATCTCTCGATTCATGTATCGCGAGATCTACTAAAGCATCGATTAACTGTGTATCGATTCCTGCTCACATTACACCAACACCATCAGTGACGATCACAAACCTGTCAACCCCTTATCAGTGATGCCTCCCTTATTACAGACCAACTCAGACCTTATTGGTCACCCCGTGCCCCTTATAAACCTCAACGTCCATCCTACAAAGTCCCCATCGTAAGGGAGAAACACAAACAAATAGACAACACAAATGTTTATTGCACGAATTGTACGCCCTATGGAACTGAAAACTCAATTTCCCTTTGTAAAAGAATACGGCGCTAAACCGTACGGGTTGACACGGTGTGCAATTGTCTGAGCCGGTCATGGGCCTCCCCTAGGTCGACTCAGCCTCAAAGCCCAGATTGAAAACTCGTTCCTTGAGAGTTGTTCTCGTGTGTGTGAGTGTTCGTTTGTTGTCCTACGTACGGTGCGAAAGAAGCTCACCGTACGTAGCCCATAGATTAACATCGACAGAACGTAGTGCTGCAGGAATTCTTTACATCGCTCAGTGGAAGTGGGAATGTACTTGGGACGCGCAACACCCCCGTATAAGATGTAAGGTAAGTAAAAAAAAACATTATTTAATAAGATCCGTGACTTGAAATAACGCAACGGAGAGTATTAGGGGTCGTCCATAAATGACGTCACGCACCTAGGGAGGGAGGGGGGGTCAGACATTTGTGACGATGTGTGACGAGGGGGGGGGTGGGAGAAATGTGACGTCACATCAAAATGCGTAACTTTAAATAAATATAGACAACACGTTCTACTTAATTAAATAGACTTGTTAATAAATGTTTTCTCCTACAACATCAGAGTGCAGCGCCACATTAAATACGTACTACAATGACAATAGTTTAAAGCGATTTGAAGCATGTTTTATTTGGGGTGGGGGGGGGCAGAGCTTTGTGACGTCATATTTGAGGGGGGTCTCACTTTTTGTGACGTCGTGTGACGAAGGGGGGGGTCAAAAATCGTCCAAAATCGCGTGACGTCATTTATGGACGGCCCTCTAAGAGGAAAAATCTTCCAACTGTCGACTCAGCTGACAGTTGCAAGGACAACAACAACAACACTCGAATTCATCTTAAAAGACAAACCAATTAAAATAGGCGATGTTTCGGGGAACGGCCCCTAATTCATAGACATGTATTTGGAAATGTTGCATTGGCAGTGGGTCCACAAGAACAACAACACCAAACAAAAACGCCTCAACACATTCGTAAAATAACACTGACACTCAAAACAATTAAAATAGGTGACGTTTCGGGCAATCGCCCTGCGTCATAGCGCATGAATCAACGATGTTAATACTATTAATAATACTGAATATCCGGTTAGCGTGCATAAAGTATAATGTGTAACCGCATTTTGGTCGCCGAGGGCCTGCTGTTATACAATGGTTACATCATGATATAAAACCACAGGGCAGTGTCTTCTCTCAACTCGCTTCACCAGACTCTGCCCTCTATGCCTCTATTGCTGCTGCCCTCTTACACTGCCCCAGGAGCACGGGAGGGTTGCTCAGAGCCGCACAGCCCCAGTGGCCGGGTTCGTGGTGCAGCACGTTAACCACTACACTACCGCTCCCCACACTAGTTAGACTGATGGCCTTAATCTTAGTTGTCTTGTTGTTATTTGACTTGCATCCCACTGGGATGTTTTGCACACAGCGTTGGTGTACGGTGCTATTTCAGGAATATTTTGATGTTTTTTTTTCCTGGATTTTATGTTTGCACAGTCACATAATCACTTTAAGATGTTTTCTTGTTCATGTTTTTGTTTGTTGCGGTTGCACCCGATTCAAGAGCTGAATGGCTCACAGGGCTATACCAAATAAATGAACTGTGAAAATGAACTAAACTATCAGCACCAGCACCACCACCAACACTTTCACCATTTCACTATTAGCACCACCACAATCTCCGCCTCAAACTTATTTTTTCACCGTCACGACCATCATTATTACCATCAACATAACCACCATCATTACCACCACCATCACTAACCACCCATGAAAATTAACACCTCCCCCGCTATTTTCGACGATGGTTTGCCATCGTCGATGGCGCAAAACCGTCCCGAACATTGTGGGTGGGTGTTGTGATCGTACAACGTTGGTGTAACGATCTTTGACTGCAAACCTATCCGCAATTTTTGGGAGACCTTGTCCATTTCTGGGTTTGTAAAAAATGTGAGCGCCCAAAACAGAGCGATGTAGCTCAGTAGGTCTTACCTGGTTAAAATAAAAAAAATGTTTAGTTTAGTAATTAGTGCAAACCTTGCACAGGGCTTCAACTTGATTGCTTCTCATCTGCAAGGCAGATGCAACCCATAGCTGTAGTAGCTACCCAACTATGACTCTGTGTCCCCGCGGGCTGTCCAACACGAGTTTTAAAACTTCGTTAATGACGTTTTAAAAACAAAATCCTTTTTAAAGGTACGGTCATTACGACACTCAAGTGCCATCATAGCGATGTCACAACAATTCCGTTGAAGACGCCAGCTCTGTCCTCCTTAACGGCCACCCACACTACACGTGTTCCTCCTGCGCCATCATGACTCGTGTCTCGTCATCGCCGCTGCCCTCCAAGTTACCGCTGGAATTTCTGCCGATGTTAGTTCTGAGGATAGCGTCTGCGCGCAACTGCATCGTGCACCCCCTTCTGAGGTTCTGTCCAGAGTCGGTCTGCTCGAGTTCTCTGAACACGTTCTCGATGGCCCCGACGAGCGAGCGCCTGACCTGCGTCTTGAGGCGCGAGCCGCTGAACACGTAGAGGATCGGGTTGACGCAGCTGTTGATGACCATCAGGTTCTTGACAATGGGAAAAGCCGTTCCCGTCACTCGGACCATCTCGTGGTCTCTCTGAACGTATGAAATGGCCCTTAGCAGTACCATGGAGTTGTACGGCGCCCAGCAGACGAAGAAGGCCACCACCACGGCCACGATGATTTTGAGCGAGTTGCCGCGACGCGCCTTGTCTATGCGCTGGAGCCTCGCCCCGATGCGACTGTAGCAGAAGATCATGACGGCGTACGGAACGGCGAAGCTCAGCACGAATCGACTAATTTTCATGGCCGTGCCCCACCGCGCCTGCACGTCAAAGTCTTCGCCGTAGCTGTTGTAGCAGGCCACGAAGCCTTCGTTTGTCCATCGCGTCGTGCGGAAGATGAGAGGCGGGAGACTCAGCAGCAGGGCGAGGAGCCACACGGCCAGGCAGAGCCACCGGGCCAAGCGCAGGCGACGCAGGGGCAGCGAGGACACGGGGTGCAGGAGAGCGGCGTAGCGGTCGAGGCTGATGAGCGTCAAGAAGTAGACGCTGGCGTTCATGTTCACGACGAAGGCATACGTGTGAAGCTTGCACGCGGCCGTGCCCATCGCCCAGTGCGAGTCCATAGCGATGGGGGCAATGACCACGGGGATCTGCAGCACCAAGATGAAGTCGGCGACTGAAAGGTGCAGGAAGAAGAGGGTCACCACCGAGCGCTTCATCTTGAAGCCCAGGATCCAGATGACCAAGAAGTTGCCGATGCTGCCCAGGACGAAGACGATGGTCAAGATGGTTATGGACGCGTGCGTGAAGCGCCGGCGGCCGAGGAATGTTATCGGGGAACCGTTTGTGCTGTTGGACAGCCACGGGAGAATGGTCTTGGAGGAGTGCCAGGCGGTGGAGTTCCAGACAGGGGTTGAGTTGGCAGACGGTGTCGGGGAGAATGAAGAGCTGGGGAGATTGGTGGCCGTGGCCATTCTGACGGGAAGAGCGATGATGTCGAAGTTCTGAATGAGATCATCACTATCATCATATTAATAAATCGTCATCATCACGCGCATCACTTTTGTCAACCTACTTCTGGATGTGGGCCTTCCCATACTGTATGGATCATGAGGTTAGTTGACCATACTTCACCATGCTGATTAGTGCGGGTTGGTGATTCAGCTGAGTTATCAACGTCCTCTGCCACCCACCGCGTATCCCTCATAGCTCTATGAAGATCTGCATTGTGCATGGCGGTTTAACCAAACTAACTCACTATTTTTTTGTTTCAGAAGCGACCTGGCCACAAATGATAGCTCAACAAAGTTGGCTTATCATGTGAACATTTATAGCAGCCAAATGCTCTAGACGCACGATTCTAAATCTGAAGAGAAAAATCGGAGCACCCGGAGAAAAATCCACGCGACCACGGGAAAAGAGAGAGAGTGAGACACCGCAAACTCCAAATATACAACAGCAGGTGTCAGGGTCGGGATCGCACCCACGACCTCCTGTATACCAGGAGAGGTAGCTAACATCCCCTAGCCACTGTGGCGCCCCTGATGAGCTACTGTTTTTGTGTGTTAGTTTGTTGTCAATCCCCGCACCTCCGATTAGCACGTTTGGCTACGTACAGTGCGAGAGAAGTTCAAGATACAGACTTTGCTCAAACGTACCTGTCGATTTTCACCCTTCTCCTCTCTGCCAGACTCTCCGTGTGGTAGAGAATCTCAGGTCACGCCTCTGCTACTCTTACTTCCCCTTCCTTTCTCACAAGGGCCCCCCCACCGCTGCCCCCCACCATGCTTCCTCTATCTCAACGTCCATTATCATCATCAACCCATCTGCCGTCAATACCGCAGCTTCTGCCTGCGAGTTTTGGTTGTGACAAATCCGGTGGAGTTGCAAGATTCACGGCTTACGCAAACAGCGACAATCACATTTAACATTCATGTTGAGGATGATGGCATTGATACTTCAACTGAAACTTAGATGCATTAACAAAACATCTGCTCAGCTATTTCAATAAACTCAATGTAAATATCGCAAAGAATCTCGTATGCGTAGCAGGGGATAGAATGGTGAGATCAGATTAAGTATGCGTGCGAGTGAAATTAATAGTGGGATTGCGGAAGCATGATGGACGATGTCCTGGGGTGTGCTGACCACCATTCAGCAATTGATAGAACATGGCAGATGATGATCATAATGCCGCACCTCCGATGAGCACGGCTGCCTACGTACGGTGCGAGAGAAGTTTAACATACACACACATACCGGACATCTGTGAAAAAGGAGCAGCATAGCTCATCGGATTCCTCCAGTACATAAACACATTCAGATTCTGACATGCATGAGTCATGATGATGGTGACGAGTCATGGTGATGGTGCCGATCAAAGTGATGTTTGATGAAACTCACGAATAATCATGATCCAGCGTTTGGCTTTTGCTCGAAAGTCACAGAGCGGCTTCTCAACAATAACAACAACTTTTGATTTAAAGCTTTCGTGCCTGCAGGGATTCATATTCTTGGTTCTTTCGGTAAAGTCACGTATTATTTTATTGTTTCCCTTCTACGTGACTTTACCGAAAGGAACCAAGAATATAATAACAACAACAACAGCAATCCCTTGGAATTTGTCAACGATCTCAGCCCACAGCGCGTCATCATTTGGTGTCGCTTAAACAACAGCGCGGTAAATTTTGATTTAAAGCTTTCGTGACTGCAGTAATTCATATTCTTAGTTTTTTCGGTAAAGTCACGTTGAAGGGAAACAACAAAATAATAAAATATATATGTGTTGGTTTGCATAAATTTATGCAAACCAACACACCTGAAGACGACCGTTTGAGTTATGGTCGAAACGTCGTGAGAATTTTTTATTGTTATATATATTTTATTATTTTGTTGTTTCCCTTCAACGTGACTTTACCGAAAAAACTAAGAATATAACAGCGCGGTAATTTCTCAACGGGGCCGGTTTGCAATGGGATCAAAGACAAAGACCCCCTCTCCGTATGGCCTGTAACAGATTGTTGAGGCAAGCGCTGTCAGCGAGTAGTAGCACCTATGAAGGCCGCAACGGCACACGAGAGGGTGGGTGACCAGCAAAACGTCCGACCGCCTTTGTCTCCCCGGTGGCGCTGTTTTCACACACCACACCGGGTATTCTATTGAGGCTGAGTCGACCTAGGGGAGGCTCAGGACCTCACGTACTCTACATGTTGTCCTTCTTCACGGTAAAGTCCTCCTGACATTTAAGTTGCTTGAAATATCCCCTGATGGCAAACCAAAGCCACTCTCAACATTGACACTTGACAATCACTCCGCGCCTCCACGGCTGTGTCATTTGGGATCTCTCCGTTCACGTAACATCGAGAGAGGGAGAGAGAGACAGCGCCTCGTGCACAGCTGGAGTCGGAGTCGATGGCAGATCGGCTCCTGTGCAAGGGTGACAAAGCCTCCTCGCCGCGTCGCACATCGTTCAGGAGATGCAGTGGCGTGCGTTGCGGTGGGATGCTTCCGATATCATTTACATTGATTTTAATAACGAATTTATTTTCTTCTTCTGTGGTTCTTTCGGTAAAGTCACGTAGAATGAGAATAAAATAATACATTGATAAAATAAAATAACGCAATAAAATTCTCACGACGTTTCGGCCACAACACAAGCGGCGTTCAGCAGCGCTGTCCTCCAGACAGTCTCGTCCCTTCACCTGATGAAGGCCGCTTGTGTTGTGGCCGAGACGTCGTGAGAATTTTATTGTGTTATTTTATTTTATCAATTTATTATTTTATTCTCATTCTACGTGACTTTACCGAAAGAACCAAAGAAGATGAATCCTTGCAATCACGAAAGCTTTAAATCGAAATTTAACCAATTTATTGGCTATCGGGACCAAATCCTCTACCCCTCATTTAGTCTCGTAAGCAGGTTACAGCCTCCTCTGGGCAGATACAACCCACGAACCACTCATTGCACCCCCACTCATTGCCCCTACCCCCCACTCATTGCACCCCCCCCACTCATTGCCCCTACCCCCCACTCATTGCCCCTACCCCCCACTCATTGCCCCTACCCCCCTCCACTCATTGCACCTACCCCCCACTCATTGCCCCTACCCCCCACTCATTGCACCTACCCCACAGTCATTGCGTGTCGCGTCCCCGTGGCCACCCCTACACCTGCGCCTCCTGCACCACGCCAACGGTCGCCACGTCACCGTGGCTGCCCTGAAGGTGGCCGCTGGTGTTGCCGCTGGTGGTGTTGCTGCTGAGGTTGCTGCTGAGGTTGGTGGCATCGCGGGACTGCGCCGTGGGTCCGCTCCCGCTCTCCTGCCCCGAATCCAACGGCTCTTGGTCTCTGAACGCGTTCTCGATGGCAGCGACGAGCGAGCGCCTGAACTGGGCTTTGAGATGCGAGCCGCTGAACACGTAGAGGATCGGGTTGATGCAGCTGTTGATGTACACTAGACCCGCGATCACAGGCATGGCTTTTTGTGACGTCTCATACATCGTATCATTGTTATGAACGTAGGAGGCGGTTTCCAGCAGTCCGATGGCGTGGTACGGCGCCCAGCAGACGAAGAACGCCACGACCACGACCACGATGATTCTGAACGAGTTGCCGCGACGCGATTTGTCTACGTGCCGCAGCCTCGCCCCGATGCAACAGTAGCAGAAGATCATGACGGCGTAAGGAACGGCGAAGCCCAGGACAACCCGACACACGTTCACGGCCGTGATGTTCCACGTCTGCTCTTCAAAGCTTTCACCGTAGTCATTGTAGCAGAATACGAAGCCGCTGTCTTCTATTGTCGTGCGGAAGATGAGAGACGGGAGACTCAGCAGCAGGGCGAGGAGCCACACGGCCAGGCAGAGCCACCGGGCCAAGCGCAGGCGACGCAGGGGCAGCGAGGACACGGGGTGCACGAGAGCGGCGTAGCGGTCGAGGCTGATGAGCGTCAAGAAGTAGACGCTGGCGTTCATGTTCACGAAGGTGCCGAACGAGATCAGCTTGCACATGGCCGTGCCCATTGCCCAGTGCCAGTTCATGGCTCCGTGGGCAATGACCACGGGGATCTGCATCACCAAGATGAAGTCGGCGATGGACAGGTGCAGGAAGAAGAGGGTCACCATCGTGCGCTTCATCTTGAAGCCCAGGATCCAGATGACCAAGAAGTTGCCGACGCTGCCCAGGACGAAGACGACGGTGAAGACGATTATGGAAGCGTACTTTACGGTGTCGTTGGAGGTTTTTGGGGCCTCGTCGTCCGTGATGTTGGTGAGCCATGCGAGAGTGGTTTGGGAGGACACCCAAGTGGTGGAGTTCCACACAGGGGCCTTGTTGGACTGCGCGGTTGGATAGGAGGAGGAGCTGGGGAGGTGGGGGGTGATGGTGGCCATTGTGATTGGAAGTGCGGCGTGCGCTCTGCGGGAGATAATCATACAAACACGCGTTTGGTTGCAAAACATTTCCACGTGATAAGGCACTTCGTTGAGCTATCATTTGTGGCCAGGTCGCTTCTGAAACAGATCTATATAACTCGGTGGGCCTTATCTTATAAAAAAGAAATCGTTTAATTTGTTTGGGAGAGGGTCCCGGGGGGCTGCCACGGCGTGATGGTTCGCACACCGTAGAACCTCTCTGTCCACCAACGAGTATAAAGCGACACACTACAGTTGGTCGACTGGTAGGTCGCGTATGGTGGAGTAAAGTGTGGGTATGTCCACCTCTTCCGAGGCTTATGGTCAGCGCCGAAGAGCGGAGGGAAAAAAAACCCCTCTAGAACCTCCTCTCGTCGAGGCCCTCTTCCGCCAGCAGCGATGTGAGCAAGCTGTTGCGGGGCTGCGCCTAGCTCAGCGCGTGGAAACCATGGACCACTTCCCCCCCCCGCCCCACCCCACCTTTGCAATCGGGGTAGAGGCTGTACACCGATGGTGTGCGGAAACAAAAATTAAAATGTTCGCAACAATTATTTATTTCTTATCCTGCATATCGTAACCCCGGTCATAAAATCCTGCGCGGGTGGTGGTGGTTGCAAGTCTCAGTAAACTGAATAAACCCTCGAATCGCGTCAAACTTGGCGACGGAGAGACAATTCAAGGCTGATGAACAGATTTGCTGATTCAAATTAAGATTTTAGACTGTTTTTATGAGGACCGGTGTGGTGTTATGCAGCACCAGTGTAACGCCAACAGGTCAATACAAAGTGTGCACAAAACATCTTACGCATATACATACGAGGTTTTTTTTTGCTTTAAAAATTACGACTTAAAACGAATATATAAATATGTACGTTATTATTATTAAAGTCACGATTGGTTAACGAATTAATCGAACAATCGAAAGCAGATATTTACGCTCGCGATAAGTGCGGAGAAATATTCGCTGGAGGAATCGACTGCCGCTGTATTTGGCGAGGTCATTCGTTTTGCTACGAACGCCGTCACCCGGCGATGGACACAAAATCAGTGAGCAAGTGACATCTGAACCAGTCCTGGCCTCCAACCTACACCGCTGGAGCACGATCGAGCAATCCCCCAAACTGGCACGGCGTGGTTAGAGACGTCCATCCAGAAATTAAAGTAAGGGCTGTGGTTGTCCCACCTGATGACGATTGCTTGTGTTGCCATTGAAACGTCGTGATCTATGATTTTTCTACCTACGTGACTTTACCGAAATAACCAAAGAGTATGGATTCCTGCAGTCACGAAAGCTTCAAATCAAGATTAAGGGCTGTAAATGATTGGTATGCAGGTTGCACGCCTTCCCTATCCGATCTCAAGGGACACAACCCATCACGCGTACTCCGGCCATCATCGCAGCAGCGGCGCCGGCGGCTTTTGGCTGTGGCGAATCGAACAAAGACAGCGATCATCGCATCGCGCGGCGCTTTCGGATGAGCTGCCGCGGCCCTCTGGAACGCTCTTCCTTCCAATATTAGGATGGCACTGAGAGCTATGCACTTTTAACTCCCCTAAATTGACGAACTCGTTCCTTTAAAACTTCTTTTTGCGTTTCGTTTGTTGTCCCTTCCCCCGCACCTCCGATGAGCACGGTTGGCTACGTACGGTGGAAAAGAAGTTCAACATGCATACTTTGCACTTACCCGTGCGTGGTGTTCGTCCCTTCTTTTAATCCTTGCCCGCGTCTCGCTCCGGATCAAACTCGCTCGTTCGCTCGCTCACACTGGACGAGGGCCTCCTTCCCCTGTCGTCTACTCGCCCCCCCCCCCCTACTCCGGCTGTGGGTTTTATCACAACGGAGTCGTTGTTTCCTTGTGCCAATCTACTGCCTCTTGTTACAACAGCGGATGTATTTGCGTGGCGTGATTGCGGTTACGCTAGACCGAGCACGCTGGAGGTGACTGGCGGTCGTAACGATGACGCCAATGATGATGTTGCAATTAAAGGCAATCATTATTATTGTTAAATGTCTTATAACAACATTGTTTATTGTTACGAGTATAGAAGCCGTTGCTCGGCAACGATTGTCAATTCAAACTCATCTCACAATACCCCTATTTTAAAAGGGTTTTCCCCATTTTTTTGTGGCAACAAAAGTGACACCTTTTGCAAGGAATCATGTTTACATTAACCACAATACTTGCAGTCAAATTAAAACAAAAAACAATACTCTGATAATTTATGCATTGTCCAGATGACGTCATCTGGTCGAACACCCTATGAGACTAGGCTCTAAGAAAAGCTGTCTCTGGTGTGGACCAATCAGTTTCAAGGACAATGCATACATTATCAGAGTTTTGTTTTTTGTTTGCATTTGACTGCAAGTATTGTAGTTAATGTAAACATGATTCCTTGCAAAAGGTGTCACTTTTGTTGCCAGAAAAAGGGGAAAAACCCTATTAGTATATTTTGGTACTGGCAAAGGAGGCCTCATGATATACTGTAAATACCCCCATTGTCGGTGCGCTCAAAGTAATCTCTTGCTATGTAATAATAAAATGGCAATATAATATATATCGTTTTTTAATATCCTCTAAATGCAATGAATATTTCTGGCAGAAGAATTACATTCATTCGATTAGCACCTCCGATTAGCACGGTTGGCTAGGGTACGGTGCGAAAGAAGTTCAACAAACATGCGTAAAAACATAAATACTGAGCACACATTGAAAGATTAGATTGTTTTGAAATGAACCGCGGTCAGTCTTCTGTATACCCCCACCTCTTTAGTGTAGCTATCCATCAGATATATATCTCTCAAACGTCTTTCACCGTTTCGTTGGCAATGGCCCACAGCGGCCACTAGCAACAGTTGTTTTTGTCGGGGTGGTGAGGAGCCCAGCCAGCCATCAGCCAGGACACTCGAGGCATATATTTAAAATAATAAATGAAGCTTCAAACTTTGCGGTAAAAATCCTGAGAAATGCAGTCCTGGGCGTGTTACAGCAAGATGAGGGCTCTTTATTTAGGATAGTTTTATTTTATTTTGGTAATTCATGTTTTAAGCGTTTGTTTCCGAGTGCGCTCAAGAATGAAACAAGGTCAACCTTTTCCCTTCTCTCTCCCTCTCTATGCGGCCACTTTTGTCATTTTGATGACGGCGATTATGATCATGCCGATGATGAACCCGGCTGGGATGGCTCAAAGGTCAGGGTGCTCGGTTGCAGCAACCAGAGAGGCCTGTGAGTCGATAGCCCAGGCTAAGATAGGGGCGGTTCATCATCATTCACGGGTGGCAACCCTTGATGTTAGAGCTCATGGAGGGGTCCGAAATGTCAGACGAAGAAAACGAGGACAAATTGGAATTATTGGGTCATAAGGATGACAGAACGTCATGTTGCTATTGCAGCGTCTTCCAAGCGTGGAAATTAATTGTGATCCAGTTAAATAGCTTGTGTATTAAGAGGTCTATTCAAAATCAAATATGCGGCATGGAGCTCAAATACTGTAAGATGGAGATGTGTGTGGAAATTAATTGTGATCCAGTTAAATAGCTTGTGTATTAAGAGGTCTATTCAAAATCAAATATGCGGCATGGAGCTCATATACTGTAAGATGGAGATGTGATGATATACGTTAATCTGCAAACCTGGGATGGATTGTTGCATCAAAGGATCATGAAATTGCGATGGTGACGCCGTGGGTTGGGGTTGTATCGATGCGGCGGTGGATAGAACATGGCTGATGATGACGATGGTGACTGCTGACGGTGACTGTCGAACCATAATTCTTCAAATGTTGATGTTGATCATGATGCTAATAAAGTTTTTATTGGTGTGGTATTTGCGCTGCTCACAAGTGACAGCAGCGTGCTCACCCCAACTAGACCATTTGGTGTCGCTTAGTACACGGAACCGCAGATTCACAATGAGCATTTCACAGAACCCCTCACGTCGTCACCCCGTCAGCTCACTGCTATCTCTTATTTCCGTTGCTTATATTTAAATTTGTACCAGAAATACAAACTACTTTCGACTTTTTTTTTATCAACAATGACGTTTTATTGAAAGAAAAATAATACAACACGAAGCACAATTTGATGTACAGGAAGTTGGTGGACCCGAGACGTACGGAATATTTCATGAACATTGGCTGCGCAAAGGACAGGGTCCACTTTAATTCTCGGATACCCCAGTCTCGTGGGCACCTTGTGTCAATGTCTCTTGGGTAGTGGAAACCAGGGATAGTTAAACACTTTGGTATTTTCAACGTAAAATGCAATGTTTGTGACAGTTTTCAATGGTAGCTATTATATTGGCGCACTTAGAACAGTTGTTTTAATTGAGCAATATCCCTTCAGCACACCTATTTGTAAATTCACTCCCCCCCCCACCTCAGGTGAGGCCTAGCTGCCAGCGCCTCGCCTAGACCTCAGTTATATAAAGTATATATAGTATGTGAGTTACTGTTTAGAGATACATTTATTATTTATTAAAGTCTTTACATTCATATTTCTGTAATTGTTTTTTTTTACAGGAGGGACCTAGACACAAATGATAGCTTAACGAAGTGGGCTTATCGTCGTGTGGACATTTATAGCAGCCGAATTTGGTACAAAGGTCGGGCTAGGTTAACACGTAATTGCAAAGCATTATTAAATTATGTTTGAAAACAATCTTTGCTTTCTAGATAAATAAATGGAGTACGTATTTTGAGCAGTAACATAGTTTTAAAAATGGTATAATAAAATACAGTAATGCTATGGATGGTAGGGGCGTGCAAGGGATGAGGATCGGGTGACTGTGATGGAGGGTACTTTGGGGTACGAGAGGGTAGGGGAGGGACGGGAATGGGTCGAGGGGCGATGGGAGGGATGAGAATGGGGAATGGAGAAGAGGTGAGGCTTTAAGAGAGGAATGGAACGTTGAGGGGGACTGCTTCATGAAGCGATGAGCTCCTATATTATTACGCACCATCAAGACCAAGCACCACTACACGACCCTCTCCTCACCTACTATCTCCTTTCTTCTTCACATTTCCTCTGTATGTATGTTGAACTTCTTTCGCACTGTACGTAGCCAACCATGCTAATCAGTGGTGCGGGGGATGGACAGCAAACTAAATACAAAAAGCAGTTCTCAAGAAATACATTTTTAATCTCCTCTGCTCTGAACTATGAATATCTCCTTTTTTTCTCTCAGAGGGGTCAAAAGAACCACGGACAATTACCTGGCGATGCTTGAACCGCCTCCGTACGGGTGCCGGCTGCTGTGAAGCAAACCTCACAGCAAGTGGGGCCACCTCGACCGGGCCCAGAACCACGCATTTCTCTTCTCGTCTCTCCGCTTTCTCTCGTCCATCTCTTCTCACCTTCGCTCCATCAGCCTCCTGCCCTCCCACTCCACCACCCCGTGCACCGCTCGCCCACTCTCCCCACCTCTCCGCGGTCTCGTGAGGCTCGCGTCCTCTCACCGGCGCGTGTCGCGTCCTCGTGGCCACGCCTACACCTGCGACTCCTGCACCACGCCAACGGTCACCACGTCACCGTGGCTGCCCTCCAGGTTGCCGCTGGTGTTGCCGCTGCTGTTGCTGCTGAGCTTGGTGCTGAGGTTGATGACATCCCGCGACTGCGCCGTGGGTCCGCTCCCGCAGTCCTGCCCCAAATCCAACTGCTCGTGGTCTCTGAACGCGTTCTCGATGGCAGCGACGAGCGAGCGCCTGAACTGGGCTTTGAGATGCGAGCCGCTGAACACGTAGAGGATCGGGTTGATGCAGCTGTTGAAGCACATAAGATAATCAACAATTGACAATGCCATTTTTGCCACGGGGTGAATCTCATGATCTTCATGAAAATAGAAGGTGGACTCCATCAGTCCGATGGCGTGGTACGGCGCCCAGCAGATAAAGAATGCCACCACCACGGCCACGATGATTTTAAGCGAGTTGCCGCGACGCGACTTGTCTATGCGCTGCAGTTTCGCCCCGATGTGACAGTAGCAGAAGATCATGATGGTGTACGGAAGAGCGAAGCCCAGGACAAACCGACAGATGTTCACGGCCATGATGTGCCGCAACTCCTCATCTCGGTCTTCACTGTAGTCGTCAAAGCAGAATATTATGCCATTGTCATCTGCTGTTGTGCTGAAGATGAGAGGCGGGAGGCTCAGCAGGAAGGAGAAGAGCCACACGGCCAGGCAGAGCCACCGGGCCATGTGTAGGCGACGCAGGGGCAGCGAGGACACGGGGTGCAGGAGAGCGGCGTAGCGGTCGAGGCTGATGAGCGTCAAGAAGTAGACGCTGGCGTTCGCGTTCATAAAGAGACCAAACGAGGTCAGCTTACACATGGCCATGCCCATCGCCCAGTGCCCGTCCATGGCCTCTTCAACAACAAGCAAGGACATCTGCAGCATGAAGATGAAGTCGGCGATGGACAGGTGCAGGAAGAAGAGGGTCACCACCGTGCGCTTCATCTTGAAGCCCAGAATCCAGATGACCAAGAAGTTGCCGACGCTACCCAAGATAATGATGATGGTGTAGACGGTTATGGACACGTACTTGAAATTATTGAGATTAGTGGAGATTTCCGACGGCTTCTCAGTGCTGTTGGTGATCAACGACGAATCCCAATCAGTGGAGTTCCAGTTGGACTGTGGTTTCAGAGAGAAGAAGGAGCTGGGTAGATGGGTGGTAGCGGTCATTCTGATGAGAATAGTGATGCTGTGGACACCTGAGAGAGATCATAATAATAATAATCGTTAGAAATATCGATCACCTTGCCCTAGATCTCCATCATAATCGATGTCATCATCATTTAAGGGATATATTAAGGGAATTGTGGTGGTGCACAACTGTAACTCATCACCTGGAAGCGAAGGGTTGGTGGAACATGTCGAGATTTGTAAAACTCCCAAACCCACAGGTGTGCAAGGTGGGCAGGAGATGGCAGGACAGAAAGTGGGGTTGTGTTATCCTTTATAAGTGAATCGTTGTCTCCGTGTGGTCTAGTTTTCTCGAATATAAAGCAAAAAATAGATACAAAAATAATGGCCTGTCTCAATGTAGTGAGGCTTTTTTGGCTAAATGCTGGACATTATACAACGATTATTGCACGAAACGCATGCCATGGCATTTGGAGTTTAAGCATTTATGCATTCGTCGAATAAAATTACATTTCTCACCTCACGACACACGGCTTCGAATCGTTTACAAATCGTTTACAGAAAGCAAATGCACACTGATGTCTATCTGAATGCAGATTCGCATCATCATCCAGCTCAGAAATCCTCTCTTATCAAGACGCTCATACATTGGGCTAAAACAGTGTCAGATGGTGAAAGTCTAGTGAGAGAGATCAAACACGTTAAAGAAGCACTACGACAGAATGGCTACAACAATGCTCAAATTAACAGAGCAGTGAATGCCAAACCACGATCGCAAAGCAATACTGCTGAAAGCGATCAGATTGTTAAAACAATAAAAATTCCATATATCTCAGGAGTAACTGACAAATTAGCCCGTGTTTTGCAAAGCAAAACATTACAGTAAGATTTGGTACAGTACACAAAATTAAAAACTAGTATCTTGTACTAAAGACGCATTACCTAAATTATCAACAGAAGGTGTATATCGGATTAATTGTTTATGTGGCAGATGCTATATTGGACAGACGGGATGTAACATCAGCATAAGACTAAAAGAACATCAAAGAAATATTAAATAATCTGAAACACAACTGTCGGCAGTGGCAGAACATGCTTGTCAACAAGGACACTCAATTGATTTTGATAACGTTGAAGTGTTGTAAAACTAATTATTACTAGCAAAGACTAATTAGAGAATCCATTGAAATTGAGAGGAATAGAAATAACTTTAATCGCTCTGACAGCTACAGGCTTAGTGCGGCTTGGAAGCGTATTATTAAATTATACATATTACAATTCCTTATAGGGGAAACACATACTAATTAACGGATTACTAACGTAGCATATAATCACAATAACACACATTACAACTAATTACTAATCTACAACTCATTACTAATCATAACCATTGACTGATTACCAATCGATTATATAATTACAATACCCCCCTATCCGCCTCAAATCACTGCACCTGAAATGAGTTAAATGATGACGTCACCCTGCTGCTCTATTTAAGACCGGGAGCAAGCGAGGGCTTTACCATTCTGGCGAATTGCCCGATGATGCTGGATGTAATTACCAGCGAAACGTCGTACTCAAACTGTAAATGTTGTGGATTCACACTTCAACACACGAGTGGGCTAAAGTAGTGAACTATTTGTATTTTGTCAACGTGACACTTTTTTGCTGATTGGCCGTGTCGGGTGGTGGAGGGTTACGACACATTTATAAATAACGCGATCTAACCCAAAAACCTAAATTATGAATACTATAGAGTTAGTAGATACTACTGTAGAACCAGTAGATACTACTGTAGAGTTAGTAGATACGACTACAGAGTCAGTAGATACTACTATAGAGCAGTAGATACTACCAAAGAGTCAGTAGATACTACTGTAGAGTAAGTAGATACTACTGTAGAGTCAGCAGATACTACTATAGAGTCAGTAGATACTACTGTAGAGTTAATAGATACTACTGCAGAGTCAGTAGATACTACCATAGAGTCAGTAGATACTACTGTAGTGTCAGTAGTTCCTACTATAGTGTCAGTAGATACTACCATAGAGTCAGTAGATACTACTGTAGGGTCAGTAGTTACTACTATAGTGTCAACAAATACTACTATAGAGTTAGTAGATACTACTATAGAGTCAGTAGATACTACTATAGAGTCAGTAGATACTACTGTAGTGTCAGTAGATACTACTATTGAGTCAGTAGATACTAATGTAGTGTCAGTACATACTACCATAGAGTCAGTAGATACTACTGTAGAGTCAGTAGATACTACTATAGAGTCAGTAGATACTACTGTAGTGTCAGTAGATACTACTATAGAGGCAGTAGATACTGATGTAGTGTCAGTAGATACTTCTATAGAGTCAGTAGATATTACTATAGAGCAGTGGTTCTTAACCTTGTTGGAGGTACCGAACCCCACCAGTTTCATATGCGCATTCACCGAACCCCTCTTTAGTGAAAAATAAAATGTGATTTTTTTCAAATTCAAGACATAGATATGTTTTTTACTGGTACACAAAATGAGCCGTGCATGAACATTACCTTGTTCAAAGAATAAAACCAACACAATGCATAAACTCACAACAAATTACATACCTGGAAATCAATGTGACTTCTGCTGTTGCCTTTGAGAGATCAGTTCAGATATGCGTGGCTTCACCTTGGCAAGTGCCACTCTCATGTCATTTTCACAGCAAAGTCTGTTCCTTTTCTTCGTTTTTATGTCCAGCATCCTCGAAAAGGATTGCTCACAAAGATATGTTGTAACAAATGGTATAAAAAATCCAGGGCTTTCTTAGCAATAACTGGATACTTGTTCATTTGTCGACACCAAAACGTTGAGAGCGTTGTTGTTCTGAAGAGTTGCTGTTGAACCTGGCTCTGCTGAATTTCAATGATTTCGTCGAGGAATTCATCATTGACATCTGCTGTTTCAACAGCAAACGTGAACGGCTGTCTCACCCATGCTGGATATGACTCTCTTGTAGGGAAATATCCGTCGAGAGACTTTGCAAGCTCATCAAAGTGCGTGGCAATTGTTTGCTTCAGTTCCGTGGATACAGAAATATCTCCGATTCCAGACACATCTTCGATCTTACTTGCACAGTCGTTCAGAAGCGGGAAGTTTGCGAAGTTATTGTTCTCTGTTCGTCGTTTCCATAACGGTAGCTTTTTTTTAAAAGCCTTCAGGTGTTCTTCCGCTTCCATGATATTGACTCCACCACCCTGCATCTGCTGATTGAGATGATTGAGAGCTGCGAATATATCAGCCATGTACGCTAAAATGAGAATGAACTCAGGATTTTTGAAGCAATCTGCATGGCAGTGTTGGTGCTCTTGCAAAAACAGGGCTAATTCCACACGCATGGCAAAAACACGATTCAGCACCTGTCCCCGGGATAACCACCGAATATTAGAATGGAGCAGAAGTACCTCAAATTCAGAGCCCATTTCTTTACACAGCTCACTGAAGATGCGGTGCCTCAGAGCACTTTTTCGCACATAGTTCACACATTCCACCACAGTTTTTAATACTTCTGACATTTTTGGAGGTAAGGTTTTTGTTGCCAACGCATGCCTGTGCAGAATACAATGCGTCACAATGATGTGTGGTGCATCGGCCTTTACTAGCGCACCAAAACCAGACTTTCTTCCCAGCATGACTGGAGCTCCGTCCATACAAACTGCAGAAACTATATCCCATGAAAGATTGTTGTCTCTGAAGAAGTCATCCACAAGCTTCTTCACATCGGCTGCCTTCGTTGTTGTTGTAAGAGGCTTACAAAATAAAAACTCTTCTTTTATCATGTCGTCTTTCACATAGCGTACAAAAACAGCAAGCTGGCTTAGATCAGAAACGTCTGTGGTTTCGTCGAGTTGAAGGCTGAATTTTGCCGGGCTTGAAATCAGATCCGCGACTACTTGAGCCAAGATGTCTTTACTCATGTCTTCTATTCTGTCACTGACGGTGTCATTTGAAAGGGGAATTTGGGATAATTTACCTTCGGCCGCTGTTCCGAGTATCAGATTCGCCATCTTTAATGCAGCTGGTTTCACAAGTGTTTCACCAATGGTGTGTGGCTTGCCCTGCTTTGCGATCAGGTAAGCAACTTCGTACGATGCTGTCAGGATCGGTTTGTTAACAGGTACAAATCCAAGAGCAGGCAGAGTGGCCCTTTCATCGAATCTGGCTCTCTTCACCCTGAATTCAGCAAGTGTTGTGTTCTTGTATTCCCCGTCTCCATGCAGCTTCAAGAAGTGTTCCTTTAGTTTTGCCGGTGCAAGACTAGAGTTGCTCAACTTGGCGTTGCAAATCATGCAGATAGGACGCTCACTCCCATCACGTTCCGTGATACATGAGAATCCATGTTGTACATATTCGTCCGACCACTTTCTTCTTTTGCCCGACATAGTTAGTATGGATAAAATATTAAAGAAATCACACGACATACGACAACAACAGTCACACGTTGACTACTGAGTACGCACTAAATTCCCCGCAGCGCTGATTGGCCAAGCAGTGTAGCATGATCATCTGCAGCCAGTGATGGCCAAGCGGGCCGTGTGTGTCATCACAAATTTACACAATAATTCAAGTGTGTCCGGACCTCCGTGGCGGGGGCTCTGCTGAACCCCTGAGATCGACTCACCGAACCCCTGGGGTTCGATCGAACCCAGGTTAAGAACCACTGCTATAGAGTCAGTAGATACTAATGTAGTGTCAATAGATACTACTATAGTCAGTAGATACTGATGTAGTGTCAGTAGATACTGCTATAGAGTCAGTAGATACTACTGTAGAGTTAATAGATACTACTGTAGAGTCAGTAGCTACTACTGTAGAGTCAGTAGTTCCTACTATAGTGGCAGTAAATACTACTATAGAGTCAGTAGATACTAGTGGAGAGTAAATAGATACTACTATAGTGTCAGTAGATACTACTGTAGAGTCAGTAGATACTACTATAGAATCTGTAGATACTACTGTAGAGTAAGTAGATACTACTAAAGTGTCAGTAGATACTACTGTAGAGTCAGTAGATACTACTATAGAGTCAGTGGA